TGGATCGATTGTTAATCAAAAATGTCGAGAGATAAATAAAAAAAATGAATCTTACAATAATTTTCCATTCAAGATAACATTTACTTGGTGAGTTACGAGTAATTTATCGTTTGCGATACTTTTAATGGTTATGTAGAAACACACCGGCTATCAAAAACACCAAATTGATATCGATAATGAAAATTCACTTGATACGCTGTCAAAAGTATATTCTTCTGATGTCTTACTTTTTTTTTCGTTGCAACACGATCCGCGACACATCTTCGCGCCCAGTGAGTGTGTGGGGAACCTGGTAGGACAGGAATTGAAACTCGACTCCAGCTCCAGTTCGGGAGGTAGACTTTTCTCAGTTTGTTTTTTAGCTTATTCTCTTGTCTTCTCTACGTTTATTATATCCCAAATGAGCTTCGATTCTCAAGTGGTTCTTTTAGATCTAGGTCCTCTGAATATTCAAGCTTCTAAATACATCTACAATACAGATGAGTTTCATCTATTTATTTTCATGTGTTCAAGGTAAAGATAGATACATTAAAATGAAACTGTATAGCTTGACCTGTTTTACTAATAGACACTCAAAATGTTGTGCTGATGAAAAAAAATATATATTCCTCGTAAGTCTATGTAGCTAGAAAGGGAATCGTCAAAATCTATAGAGTAGTTTTGAAACTCACAGGAAGTTCAAACGTGTAGGCGCGCCAATAATGTGCTATAACCCATCATGTCGCGAATCATTGGGATGATTTAACGCTTAACTTGTTCTTTCTCACCCACGCAAGTAATTTTCTCTCGCACTTACACTGTTTCATTCACTTCTACCGACATTGTCAACGCATATTATTTGCAATCTTCGCTGAGATTCACTAGGTTACTTCAAAGAGGAAGCATCAATTGACGATTATATCCTACAAAAAAAAAATCAATAAATTACATCATTTATTGATGAATTTTTTATAAGTTCTTTTATATTTTATAGATTTTTTTTAAGATTCTTTTTTAAAATTTTTATTTGAGTAGAAATTTATGTAAATATTTTTATAATAAAAAACTGAGTTAAAGAAAATTAAAAAAGGAATTCGATATCTTTTAAATTCATTAAAAATTTAAAGAATGATTATGAAACAAGAACATATGTATATTTGATAACAGATTTTGATTATTGCTTTTTAATGAACTTTATGAACTAAATTTATGAAAAATCATTTCTACCTTAATTAATATTTTTTTAATAGCTGATATAAGAATAATCAAGAATTTATTTAAACTTGTTTATTGAAAGACTCAAAAGAATTATCAATTCACTAACAAAATATATGAAGTTACATTAGATTGTTGTCAATTTTTTTTAACTTCATGATTAATGGTAATATGCTACTGGCATAAACTAAGTATGAAAAAATAATTATCAGATGTTATTAAAACAATAGACAAAAAAAAATGAAGATGAATATTAGAATATCGAGTCTTCGAAAATGTGTAATATCTTAAACCTTGCATAAATGATCTTTGGCTGAAAATGAGCACCAGAGAATGTTTTTTTTGTCTTTGGCACGATCACGTGTCGCGTCTGTGGTCCCTATAAGGTCTGGAGTGAGTGTATAAGCGGTACGTCCTTTCGTGCACAAGAGAACGATCGCCATAGGAGGGACCTGATGCCGGCTTCTTTTATATTATGTGCACACTTGTTCCAGGAGTTTCCAATGCGTCCAATACATTCAGTCTTCTCCACTATCTTTCTTGAAGATCGCGTACACTTAATTTGTCGCATGATGCTGTACACACTGTAAAGACCTCTTGTCTGCTTGGTTGAACACTATTCTATAACGAATATATATGCATTTAGATCAGCTTTGCGTGACGATAATTGTATAATATAAGCATGAAATTCAAAATAAATAAAAATGTAAAATTCTTCATCAATATTTGCGTGTTATCGTATTTAAGCTGTTGTATTAATATTTTTCAACGGTGTAAAAATTGCTGTTACGTTAACATATGTACAGATGAAGTGAAAAAAGAAAAAGAAAAAAATAGAAATCATTTTTATTTCACTCTTTTAAAGTAATTTATTATTTAATTTCAGTTTTTTTATTTCATTTTAAACTTCAAGGAGAGTAGGGACTCGTGAAAGTTGTCCAGACGAAAGATTTACGAGCGTAACGTACTTACTCAGTAGCTTTTGCTTCAATAATTTGGATGTATGTACACACATTTTGCATTTACACCCATGCACAATGACGTGGTATATTTGGAATCTCTTATTAGGTTCAAGTGTGTGTCAAGTGGTTAAAAAACAACCGCATCAACTTCTTTTTCTACTGCAGCATCCAGCCATCTTCTTAAGTAACGACTGTAATTTTATTATTTATATTACTTTTTTTTAAATCTATAAATAAAAGATGTTTTAAACTTTAGATAAATCTGAATACTAGACTTGGCTAAATGTATTTTTGTTTTCATAAAAGAATTATATTTGCTGCATTTTCGGTTTTTTTAAACATCCATCGATCATACGTTGGACGTTTAATTACCCTCGTCTTGGCGTGGGCAATGTGGGCACTTGATGTGTGTTGTGCACTCGCTTTCGCAGCAGTTTCTTACGGAAACCCGCAAGATCCCGGTCCGCCCACCCGCATCCGCCGGTGTACTGCATGGCTGCTGTTGCTAGTGTGCAAAAGACACACGCTGGCACGCACAAGCGACAGGTAAAGTCATACTGGTGCTTCTGATTAAGGTACACAAAGCCTTTACTGATGTACAAGACGTCGAGCCTGCATATAACGGTGTAAAAAATGCAAAATTACTATGAAAAAAAAATTCCTCACAAAACTACAAACCATATTTCTATATATTGTAAACCAATTTATGCATTTTTCTAGTAGTCATAAAAGTTGGTATATAAATTTTCAGCTGAATAAAGTTTCATAAGTTAGGCAATAAAAACATTGAATGAGTTTAGTTATGACTTTAACCCTCGACGCCGATAACTTGTACCTAGGACTTTATTTTTGTACCTTTATACTTCGTATTTTTCTTGTGCTTCTTTTGCGTCTTCAGAGAAAGGTAGGGTGTTTGGAAAAGGCCTTAGGCTATCAGACGTTCAAATTCATCGTCACGTCCTGGCTGAATCAGGTCTCGCTTCCTCCTGCTTCTTCTTATGTTCTTCAAGGCTTTGCTTTATTCGTCTCTCGACTACGTTTCAACTTGTTTATTGGCTTGCTCTTTAAAAACCCTTTGGTTTTCTGCTTGCAACACACTGACATTCTTTCATTCTAAAATTCTCTTAATGTTAAGAAATTCCATTTTCCTCAACAGGTATAAATTTAGTTATGATGAAGTATTCAAGATACTTGACCTTTGTAAAGATTCTTTGAATGAATGAATAGTGAATACGTTCAGTTAGGCTTAGTCTTTCGAGTCTAGTATTGAGTTTATTTGTAAAGCAGACAAATTAATAATATAGACAAGCAGTAAAAGGCGTAGAGTAGGATGAAATCGTGGGATATTTTTTAGTTTTCTCATTAATAGACATTACAACTGAAAGCAATACCACTGCCAACGAGTAACGGAAGTCCCACTTTAAGGAGACGCATCGATGTACAACCAGAGGCACCTGTGAGACCAAGTGATCCCTGCGAAGGCGTCACGTCACGCGAACCTACACACCAATCCATTTTCTCATGGAACCAGGATAAGAGTTGCGTTTTTTGGAGCAGGATGAAGGCTATTAAATCGTCTTTTTCTTTTTTCCATTTAGAACTTCTTTTTTTGTACACTTTCATCCAGTACATGTTATTATGTTAACTATACGTCAGTAGAAATCTGTAAATAAAAGAAGATATTATTCAAACTCTGCAATTTACAATAAACAATTTCAATTTTTTTTTTTAATTTTTTCAAAATGATAAATAGATTGTAAAATTGAGGTTATTTAACGGTTTTTTAAAATGAAGATATTGTTAATTTACCGTCCTAATGTTGATATATTAATTATATTCCACAAAAGTGTTTAATAAACTTTCTTCAAGTTTTTTAAAAAAAACTCTATTAGTAACTGTCATCGATTTCTATAGAAACAAAAATTTTTCTCAACTCCAAAATGAGTTTTAATTAGTGATTTATGGTTATCAATAATCATGAAGTTTACAAAGTAATAAAAAGTCTCACATGTAATGAATCTTTTTTTTTCCCCCAATTTCTTCTTCCATCGGAAAATTTCTCTTGCTTTATCCAAAAATTATTTTCCATTTAATCTAAATAGGTATGTAATGCATCGAATGAGCTCTCATAAAAGGGAAGTTCATCTTTACGAGAAAATTAGTTTAGGTAATCATTATACTCTTCACTCTTTAGAGTCAAGTTACATAGTGTGTAGATCTAGTGTCGTTGAGTCAGTCAGACTGATAAGGAAATGTTCAGTGAGAACAAGTACTCAGAGGCGCAGGTCAAGTTGAAGTTGTCAAAGCAGATTTAGTTTCTGAACAAATGCTTATTCCTAATGGAGACAAAATAGTGGTTTAAAAAAAATAATGATGCATGGAAGTTTCTTGATGGTTTGCGTGAACTCTTGACCCACTTAGATAGAGTAAAAAGTTTTAGAGCTCTGAAAAAATTAACACCCGGGCCAAGTTTTATCCACGAAATCACGATCTACGCCATTGGTGGTGCAGACATACGAGAGAGAATAGCAAAGCAAAACATGCGTGCGTGAGTGCGTGCAAATCCCAGGGAGTCTCTCAAAGAGATATCGTAGGGCCACACGCGGCAAGGAACGGACGTAAAAGCCGCACAAGACCGTCCAAGCTATCGTATTCACCAAGCCAGCAAGCCAGAGTCTCTCAGCCAATCAGCCGTCAGCTAGTCTATTCGTTCTCTCGCTCCTCGGCTCTTCAAGCAATCAGTTTGCCGCGGGCCGTCTTCAAGTGTAGTTCGTGTATTTTACTTGATTCTTAACTTTCGTATGACGATAAAACAAAAACAATTCAGTTCCAAGGATTAAACATGTTGGTGTTGTTGATTCAACTTGTTGATAATTGTTCTATAAGAAATAAATTCGTTACGACAATGTCGAAAAAGAATTTAATAAGAAATAAAATAAAATTTATTTACTAAAGTTGAGCAGTGAAATTAAAGTCGTGCCGGTAGATACATCAGGTGTGGCTAGTTCAGGCATTTTTATATTTCTTCTTCGTGGTCTTGTTGTTCTTCTTCTTTTATTTTATTTTTCACCTCATCTTTGTCGTGGGAAGTAGAAACGTGACTGCATGCCTTGCGGAGTGATCTGAACGTAGTGAACGATGAAACGGGTGTGCTGACGACTTTGCTACTGGATACGAGCCACTTTAGAGTAGTGCATATATATATATATATATATAAAATACAAGCCAACAGCACACGCCATGGCGCCTCCAGACAGGATGAGAAGATGTTCGCCTCCACGGCCTGGATCTGGTCTCAGTCATTCCGTGCTTGGTGAGTGTGTAATAGTAACTATTTTCTTCCTCCTTCTATTTTATCTCAAGTATAATTTTACCTCTTTTTCCTGCCAATTGCATCTACATTTTGCACTTCTTCCAAGCAATAGAATAAAGAGAGAAAGAATTACTGGAATTGCTCGTGGCTGACAATCAGGCGCCTGCAGTGGTCGGCAAAGCTTCGGAGGATGATTCCTATGCGTTCAGAGATTTACTGTGGATTATGTTACTCACTAACAATGCCACAATTACAGGGGCATTGAAGTGAAGAGAAAGGTGTAGAGATAGAGTTAAAAGAAAAGTACAGGTTTATTTCTGTTGCTTTCTAGTCTTGCATTCTACTAGTCTAAATTCTTTATTTGCTGGTAAGAATCGACAATTGTTTTTCATTCAGTCTGCAATAAACAAAAAAAAATATTAGAAAATTTGATAAGAATAGAACAATTAGACATTAAATACTATATTCATGAGAGTTAACGTTTACATTTATCTTAACTGTAGAGCGAACAGTGGTTATTATCTATCATACAAGTATAATTAATTAAAACTATTATTAACATATTTATTACTGCGTCATTTTTTTATGAAATTTATGTTTTATTTTTATCAGATCATGCATCAGAGTTTTCATGACATCATGCATTTGTCATTTTTTCTGGTAGAAAGTTGAAACTGATCTTTCGTACTCATTCACTGATTTTACTGAATCACGTTTAAATTATGTAACATTTAGCATCGTGCAGTAAATATTAATTAATTTATTTATTAATTTAATGTCAAGCAAATTTTAGATCAGCCTAGAATTATTTATAAATTTTATGGCTATATCAACTGCATTTAAAAAATTCCAGCTGATTTATTTTTGTAATGTTTGATCTTACAAAAAGTTTTGAAATAATTCCGTTATCACTCAATTGTATTTTAATAAATTGTTCAAAGTAATTTTCTTACCAAATACTGAATATATTACGTTATCAATAAATTCTTGAAACAAAAAAGGTAATAAAATGTTCTGTGCTTAAAAAATTTTTTTTTTTTCGAGTTAAATCCGATTCTTAGTTTCATATTAATAAAATATTGTTTTTGTAAAGTTCATGGGCATTTTTAAAAAGACATTATCGTCTTCCACTAAAGCTTTAACATGATTTGTTCATTCTTAATGAGCATTTATATGAAGGTTGTCAAGATATTTTCGTTTTAAAACGTATTAAAAAATACACAAATCATTAAAAAGATGCTAAAAAAGACACTAACGATAAAAAATTATTAAACCACATGTTACTTGTACTTTTTTTCAATCACAAACAGACATTCAATATCATAGTGATAAAAATTGCTATAACAAAAACAATCATGTACAAAAGACTTTCAACTTTCTATTAATAACTTTGATGAATATATATTTCATATATGATTTACCAATTTATAAAACAAAAATAAAAATTATTTAGAAAAAAAATATCTTTATTAATAAATAGGAATAAAGTATTACGGTGTACCTGAATGAATAAAGGACAACTTTCATTCTCGCTTGAAAAGTTGATTAAAAACATTTTGCCTAGGTCATTTTATATCACTGTCTGTATACAGGATGTAGCACATGTCACCTAGCATATTTACCAGTTGTGCTGCTGTCATATCGATAAATCTGATGTGAGGAATGTTTATATTGAAAAACGACAGTTGTGAATAGCCAAAGGCATGCTACTACCACCTGTTGAACCCAATTAAATGTTGTAATTGACGCATTGCTTTTCGGAGCGTGACGGTGTAATGCACTTCTGCAGGACTGTTATTATATTCTTCCATCACATAGGATTATATTTTTTTCTTTGCACTTTGGTCCCGCTCTGTTGCACTTTTCTTCAATACCAATAGAGTCATTTGGTTATTAGAATCTGCAAGAGAAGTATTTAATAACTATATAAATATTTACTTATAAATATTCAAAAATTCATTCTACTTATCTAGTCATATTTATAAATTCAAAACTATTAATTTTAGTTGGAACAAGTGTTCTATATACTTTTTAGACGCAAAATATTGACTATGAATCAATTTATCATTTGAATGACAAGTTCGAAAAAAATTCCAATGAATAATATTTCAAACTAAATATTATAAATTATTTTTAACTTAAAACACTGATTAAAAAGTATATCAATAAAGACTGTCTTAATGAAACAACAAGTTTCGGATAAAAATTTATTACTATTGTAAAAATTGAATAATAATAAGATTACAGTAATTAAATTGATATTTGCATGGAGTTTTATTGTTTTTCTTAATGAAATAATTTTTATGATAAAATTCTAAGAAAGAAAGTGTTTTCAGAGCTTATCGTTGAAGCTATTAATACCAAAAATGCCATGACTCTCTATTTAAATATTTGAATGTATTAAACAAATATTGAAAAAAAATGATTTTACGTGTAATCAAGTCGTTAAATTTAAGTCTAAGTATCCTTTAACGGGGATTAAGTGTTAGAAATTAAACACTCAGAATTTAACCTTTTCAATAATTCTTCGACTTTGTGTGTTAAAATGTTTTTTCTAAACACAGTCTAGACTGTAAAGACCACGTTAAGTTTTATTTAAAATACACCTGTGGTAATCTAAGAACTGGTATTTCATCATACAAAACACGTCACTAGTTCAAACGTTCCATTGAGATTCTCCACCAGACTTTTTTTTACAAGTGTACGGATATAGTTAGAAATATTCATACTATCACTCAGGATATTTTGTAAGCTAAAAGATACTCGACTAATTTAGATAATGACCCCTAACATTGTACACGAGTCAAGCATTAAATCAGGCGGGAGTGATTAAAGACCGGTTCGTATATAAGAAATAAAAGCCTCCTGGGAGTAGTGTATATACGAGTACAAGTAAGAGACTCTGATTGCGGGTAACAAGAGTAAAATCTTCCTCTTCTTCTTCAAGTGATTTCAATCGAAACAAGGAAATCGATATATCGGCTTCACTGGCACGTGACGAATCGATTCGCTCGAGAGCCGTGCGAACATCGATCTCTCGACGAAATCATTCATCCAGTGAAAGCTTTGATAGAAAGTCACGATTCGTTACAGATTTTTTTCTAATTCTTCACTTTAAAAACATCTTGCCATTTGCATTGAGCTTATCGTCACTCTAAATGAGACATCACACTTCATACTGATTTTTTCTTATACTATCTTTCTCTCTGTGACATTGTAAAAACCCACACGCAATCTTGTCGATTATTTACGACGTAAAATCGACACGTGACAAATCGATTCGTGACTCTGATTCAACAATGATCAATCTGAGTAAAAAAATATTTGCCATAAGACGTGTAGTATATATAAATATATGGATGAATGTATCAAGCCTTTTGTAGGCGAAGTAACGGTGAAAGCTGATCGAAAGCGCGGATTCTTTATAATAAGTATCCTCTTCAGCTCAAATATATTGTACTCTGCGACATTTGAACCTTATAAAAAAATTTAGATAAGATATCGTAAAATCAGCAAAATGACTGTATGATTACCCTTGACAAATTTCTACACAATTTACAACCTATTAAAACTTACCAGAGGATCGTTCGTTAGATATACAAAGTATACAACTTAATAGCCTTGATGATTTGTTCAAGCTTCTTTCATTCAATAATTCTGAGAAGTTACTTATCAGCATTTTTAATAAAATCTATATTCATGAATCCACACAGTTGCTAACTTGAGGCCTATTATTTGAAATCATATATGCACAGGCATGAGTTCTATGCGGGTCTTATGCGGTAGAAAGCCTGGGAAGGCGGAGCAGGTCAATGAAAGTTGAGGGTTCACTCCAGGGAGTTTTAGATCACCATTACCTGTACACAGGATCTTCACTTTTTTTCGTGTTCAACCGGGTGCATCGTCTTGAAACATTTTGGGTCTTAGAATCTGTTCGGACATGGTCATCGGCTGTTAGTGGGAAGTAAAAGCCAGTTGAGTGTGTAACCTTGATTTTATATTTCGTCGTAGGGCCAAATATGTATGAGAACTCTGTGACACCTGTAAATTAAAAGATTTGCCTGAGCGTGGGACATGTTTACACTACTTGAGATAGAGGTGTTTGTCATATTTTATTTCAGAGTCAAATTGAATGATGAATTTACCTGTATTAATATATTGTATTTACGGATTTATATGGCACTGGGAGAATTGATTTGAAACGAAAAGGATTCACCTTTATAATTCTTTCTTCAAACATACAATAAAATGCGTACTCGTTCATGGGAAAGCCCATAAATTTTATACGATAAAAGCAGGCTCTGTAAAAAAAATTCTCGTAGACATTACATTAGCCGGACTTCAGTTTATTTTTCCACTTAGCGATGTTGTAATAATTATTTTCCATGTTTGTTACCTGAAAAAAAAAAAATCCACGTTATCACTACTTTACTCACCCACTGGTGTAGATAAAGAAAATGAAAAATATTTTTCATTCAAATATTAATTGCTAAAAAAATATATACTAATGGATTTTAAATGGATTTTACTCTACTTTTACACTTAGTACACTCGTAATAATCATTTACAAAGGCGTTCAACTGCGAAACATTTTACTGCCTCCAAATTATACCTTACGACTGGTTAATTATCAACCGCGAAACGAGAAATCTTTGGTTTTTATACCTGTAAAAGTAGCTGATGGATTCGTGTTCTGATATATCAAGCTATAAAACGAGTTTAACAAAATAAAGCATCAAGTGTACGAGAAAATGTGAGAAATTTTACAACGAATAGCGCATAATATCAATTACACGCCTTGCCTTTAGATATAGAGAATCAGAATAATATAAGACTACCTATGAATTATTATCAAATACCTCGTAGGGTTTTATATCATCATAAGATGAAATTAATCGAAGTTAATAAGCCGGATCAATTCTCGACGTTTTTACAGTAAATTTTTCAAGAATTATTATTAACAGTTATTAGTCACGCAAGTCATCATCTTTCGTTTCTTCATTCTCTTTGCATCTTTTCTTTTGCCAAGTTTCAGAATACTTCCTTTATATACATTGGGAAAGGCATTTAACTTTAATTAAATTACAAAGTGCTTTTGAATGTATCAGTAAACTCTATAATTTAATGTATATAAAGATGAACATCAAAAATTTTTCTTCAAGATAAAAATGGACATTTAAAGCTTTCTAAAAAAAAAAGAATAAAAATAAAGATGCTCTTTTCATCAGTGTATACATAAAAATTATAGCAATTGAAGTCTGTTATCGAAAATATGATAGGCTCCGTTTTCAAAATTTATAGCATGCATGTGATCTAAATACATGAGAAAATAAATCGTTTAATTTTATTTATATTGATTAGAAAGCTTCATTAAATAACCCAAGTAGAAAGCAATCTAATAAGCTTATAGGAATAAATACATATGAATTCCTTTTCATGTAATTCTTAGTATCAGATCAGTGCAAAACAAAATATATATATTTATATATATAAATAAATATATGACACCTATCAAGATTATTAGGGCTAAATTACCAGTGACCAAGTGATCTATAAAATCAGATTAGTATAGTATATGTACATTAAATTATAATTTGTTTATTTAACTGTAGACATTTAACGTTTTTATTGAAAAGTAACAACCAAAGTAATTAATCAGTATTCTTATCAAACTGTTGGTATTAAATTCTTTTATTAATGTTATAATAACCACAATAAATGATTATTTTAAGTTTAATTTTAATCTACATAAATAACTATGCTCTTCTTCTTATTACCGTTATCATGCATTGTTTAATCAAATACTTGGGCATTTTTGTAGCTATAATGTATGCAAACTACTATATCGTGTACTAAATTTCTCATTATTATTCAGGAATTTAAATCGAAGTGAGAAAATGCATAAGCATAGAAGTGTAGCTATAAAGCATATAATTGATTTGAATAACCAATATACATCATCAAATACAATTGAAATCAATAAAGAGAATCAAATAAAGGAAAGAGAAAAAGGTTGACAAATAGTTGTATAGAATCGTGTCTTACTTGTTTAAATGTTTGCACTTGACTTCCAAGTCTTATTTTCTATTGGCTCATTCGTATTATTTATGACATAGGTCAGGGTTAATATTTGCCTCAACGGTGAACTACTATAACAAGTAGTGTTGTCGATCAAAGATTTATCTCACAGATGTTTTCATACGTCATACATTATCTGCAAATCCATTAATAACTCAAACCATCTTTTTAGAGGATGTCTTGTTGATAGTATATTATTATTTTCCAATTCAACATACCAACTCAACTCTTGAGTAAATAAACAATGTTTCTGCTGTTCCACTTGGATATATATGAGCATAGAAGTTGCACTGAGGATTTCACAAATAGTTGCGTTTATCTCGCTTTCTCATGAACGTCAATTTCAATCGGTGATTTTACGAGCTACGATAACGAGACCTTGCACTCGCCAACTGCACTCGTGAAAGCATCAACGCATCAACAGTCTACGATGCCTGGCATTCAGAAGCTTTATGTAGATATAGATATATCAGGATTTAGTTTATAAACTTGTAAATCGAATCTAAAATTCATCTCAACTTAGAATATACGGAAGGATCATAAAGTTGGAATTTCTCGGTTTGTATTAATCTTAGCTTCCTATCTTTTGCGTCTTTTTGTTCTTAATCCAGTCAACGTGATATCAGGCGCCTCTCTCTTATCTCAAGCGTTTTATCTGGCTTGCTTACGTACAACGAATGTACGAATTATGTATATTTTTCAGTCCGAAAGGAATAGAAAGCAATTGCAGCATCGCAAGTAACTTCTTCAGTATTTTACACTAAAAAGAAAAATAAAAAATTGAAATAAATGAAAAATAAAAAATAAATATGTATATATTTATAAGAAAGAGAAGGTAAAAGAAGAAGAATTGCTAATGGTTCGAATTAAATTCCAAGTGTTTACGACTGTTGTGGCTAAAGAACCACTCGAGATATCGATTTAAATATATACCTTTATGCCATTAAAGATGGAGACTTTCTCTCTGCTTTTTAACCTTCTCATCACTTTAGAGTATTCAAGTAACAATCACTCACAATTATTCATTACTGAGGGCTGGCCTGCATTAGAGTGTATATATGAAGAATCCTTTAGCTTTGTTGGAATAAATTCTTTTCTTTCAATACACTCCCAAATAAAACTTTATTTGTCCCTTATACTATTCTACCTTTACTTTTACTCTATAGCACTTGAATAGACGTCAATCTTCGTATTCTATTTGTACACTTTCAATAGAAACCTAAATCTATTCCTTCGGTTTTAATAATAAAATAGAGTACGAGGTTATGTCCAAAACGTATATGTTTACATTCTAGTTTTTTTCCATTATATCAGTAATATGACAACATTGCACTATATTTAGTACAGTGTGCTGGTTGTTGTTGTGTTCAAATAATATATTTAATGACATTGACTCTTATTTCGAAAGTTTATTTGTTGTTACGTTAATTGCCTGCAATTTAACCGAAGATAAAAAGCAATTAAATTTGAAACCCGTTAGCAACTTTATTGCTTTGATGTCCTTTATTGAACTATTTTCTATAGATTATTGCACAGTATAATGGCGTAAAAGATTTTATTCGGGTCGTGCTCGCGACCTCATCCCAGTAAGTCTGCACATCAGGCAGGTGCAGTTGGCTGGGTTACCGTAAGACCTGGGTCAACGCACTCTTCTCGACCTCTCTTTCCTTTTTCTTGCACTTATGCAGGCTATCAGCAATATAACTTGTTGAAAATGTTGATGTTTCCTCTTTAAACGCCCCACAAGCACCATATTTTGTTTTCTATATAATAACTCTAGTCGACTCATTCTGAAGATGTTTCTACCGTTTATTTTCAACGCTCTGTTGCTCGTCTGACACCGGAACTCCTTCTCCGGAAGATAATTTTTTGAAGTTAGAAACGTTAACATGTTGAATTTCAAATTTATTTTATACTTTTATTATTAATAATTTATATACTTTCAACTTGTTGAAAATGTTTTTATTATCTTGCGTATAGATTACCCCTAAGGATGTGTTTATACGTCTGCAAGAAAAGATCGTTAGTAAAGACCGTTATGTTTTTTGATCTGTACCTTGTAGTATTAGTTCTTAGATCAGAATGAAGCTTCGTTAAATCCTCTTACTGCTGTTGCAGTTCTCGACATGCTTGGGAAAAATAAAAGCCTATATATATATATATATATATATATATGTAGACTGAAGGATCTAACAGTTGGTAAAATATTGTCTTGTACCGCCCAACTAACTAAGAACATGATAGCAAATGTTCGACCTAAAAGAGCAGGCACAATGCCCCACCTGTTTCTATTTCCTAAGTCTGCTGTTGCTGCTGTTGCAGTACATCCACTCTCTTTCTTTACAACCTTTGTGTCTGGCTTTCAAGCTTCTTTTATTTATTTCTCTCAGATGCGATTAAATCAGCGACTTTTTAATTTTTTCTTTCGATTAGAAGTAAATCTTTTCTCAGTCATTTTAAAATGACGTATTCACAGTCGGTACAACAAGAAATTGGCTACACTGAAATGACTGACAGACATTAGCAGCAATTTCCACAAACCTTTCAACTAATGGACAATGTAACCTTGCATTCAAGCAGTGTTATTGCATCATTTGCATTCGATTTGCAGAAACTATTGGAGTTGGTTAAGTGTCATTTGAATATGTAGACAGACATTGAAATGAACTATTCTCCAGTAAGTATTCAAGTATTTGAAATTAATTTTTTACAAACATTACTAAATATTCTATTGCTTGTCGAATCTCCCGATCGACAGAGACTTTGTCTTCCGGGATTTTATGGATCACGTAGGTTCTTGAACACTGTGTTCTACCAAGTCGTTTATATGAAAGCACTAACTCTTAGTTCGATCGTAAATCATAAATTACAAGAGCTGATACTATCGTGAGAAGTTGAGGAGGATTATAACCTACCTTGGAGTAAGTAACCCTATGACCTTTTACTGTAGACTGTTTCCTAGTTGAATTATTTCCAACAATAAGTACTATTTTTGTTTTTACATTTCCACTGTTATTATTGAGGGACGTTCCACAATAAGAAAATATATGCAGTTGAAATCAAACTTTTATTAGAAGCAAAGAACTGATAATTTATATAAACTATCATCTATTTTGTAAAAGTTCATTAACTACTAATTGCTCGGTATTTTTTTCTCACGTTTTATTTTATTTTCCAGATCTAATTTAGTTGAGCTGCCATATGTAACTAATAAAAATAAAACAAGACTACTACCATTATTATTGTTAAATATAGTTATATATTATATTTATAATATTTCATAATAACAAAGAATAAAAAGTATTCATGTAAACATCTAGCAGAAATGTAATTTGCTATTTACGTAATATAAATACCAGTTGTAGAACATTGATGATGATACCAATAAAAAATATATATTCTAAAGTTATACAGAAAACGTTTAAAGACATTAATTTAATAAAAATGTACTTATAAATTATATTATCTTCTAATCTGATGATATATATTTCTTTACTTGCAGATCTTGCACAAATTCGTGCACTGGTAGAGTCAACCGGAATGCTGGGAACTGGTTCGATGTGTCCATCCTGTGAGATGCCTTTCGATAAAGGCAAGAAACGACGGCTTATTGACTCCTGTGGACACGAGCGTTGCTACTCGTGTTTATTTCGCAGCGAGGCCTGTCCTATCTGTCGCCATGACGTGCCAGATCGACAGATTCGTGATGACATTGGTCATTATGATACTGGATTTAGTTCTTCAGAGCCAGTATCTATGATTGCTATTGATGAATGGAATGATGATGTATCTGGTATCAATTCTTTATGTGGGAGTCCACTACCGAGGATAAAATTTTCTCAACGATGTAAAGAGTCTCGTTCACATGTAAGTATTTTATAATAACTGAAAAAAGTTAAAATTATAATTGAAAAATCGAGAGATAAAATAAAATAAGGCGTTGGATGATGACGCATATCTCGAACAAAATATTCGCCCACATGTGCGTTCCATAACGTTTGTGCATCAAAGTCTGTAATCAAAAGTCCCACCACCCACGATTGACTCCGGTAAAGTTTGCAAACGAGATCGCGACGATGTGTTGGCTGGTCCATTCAATTTCTGACGCCTCTTGATTTCATTTTTTGAAGTTATGCTTTATGTTGAAAGAAAAAGTGAAGAAGAGGTTAAAGGAGAAATAAAAATTGAAATATAATCTACACATCATCACAGTCATTACATATGTCTAAATTGTAATTTATTCATTTCAGCAAAATCAGGACGTAACGTCTCCATTGGCGACTGGTAAAGGACTAAAGGGCAAGCCACCAGTTCTTCCGGAATCACTCGCTTCTCGTCATAAGTCTAATGCTATGGCTCAAAGTAAGTTATCTTATTTTATTCTATTGCTTCAATCTATCATCCAACACCTGGTCTTTCATTTCTTCCATTCATCGCAGGTTGTCCGACACCACCTAATCAACGCCGAAGATTCTTTCTCAATCCAAAAGGTCTCAGAAGTCCTTTCACACCTCAACGAACAAAAAAAAATTCTACACCTGACCAAACTGACAATCCATCGGCATTATCAGGTAATTCTTTCAGACCTATAATTTTTATAATGACTTACATAATCATTCCAATAGCCATGTAGAGTTTCTCCTATATTGAAAAATAAATAATTAATGCAATAAAAAAATAGCGTGGATGACAACATCCTGGGAAGAAACTTCAAGATGGCCGGGAGTTGTTCTCGGAAAAATTAAATCCCTGTGGAGTACGAGTCAAGGTACAGCAAATGATGGGTTAAATCAACTTATTGATTCTCCAACGAAAGATGATAGACTTAATCGACTCAATGGACTCGTGACTCCGGCAAGAAAAGTCAATATGCCCGTCAATCAATTTTCATCAAATATCCGATCTACAGGCAGGCGATTTTTCATCTTCGTGTGGAGAAATCTGCGTGTCATTTTTTTTTTTTTCCATTAATCATCTAATGAGGCACATTTTTCAAAAATTAATCCTATTCACAGTGATCTTGATACGTCTATCAAGCACTTGATAGCATGAATTGACACTTTTTAATTTTTTTTTAAGTGTGCTGCATCATGGAAATTTTCTTGCCTGACTTTGACTTAATCTAGTACTAAAACTCATGCAAATATTTGGGTTTTTTTTTTTTTTTTAAAGATAATCTCATTAATCAATTAAGTAAACGAAAGAAAACTAATTTTTATATCACTTTGTTGCAGACGACGAAGGAGGATGCGTAAAACCATTGTTAAATACCCGAAAATCTTCTCAATCCGACCTATATATGAGATTAGGATTATTATTAGGATCTGGACACTTGAGAACGAATTCTTCAATAGATACAACAGATTTATCTTGTGTAAATCGATCTCCATCATCGACTGGAGCATGTTCAAGACCCCAAACTCGTTTAGATCCCCGAGGACATGATACATCTTTTAGCAGTCTTACAAGTTTTGATCAACAAACCCTAGCGTCAACAAATACTAGTCCAGTTTCGACATTAACTGGAACATCTAGTGAAGCAGAAGTAGCAGCTGCTTTAAGATCATCGACAAAACCTAAAGGAAAGTCTAAAGCCAAGGGAAAAAGAGATTGTGATTCAGCAGGAAGTTTGGCATCGATATCGACATCAATTTCTGCATCTACATCAATGTCCATGTCAATGTCAGTCTCAGTTTCTGGGCTTTCTAACGGGAGTTCCAGTCCCTTGACGTCAAGAAGACATTCGTCCAACATTCATCAAGATCAAGAGGACTGTGGATTAAAAAATCGAAGATCTTGTGTTAGAAGAAGTGGTAGAGGGGGAAATATTAAGCCAATAGATTCCAAACTTCGTTTTGTTCCACATTTAGCAGCACAATTAACATTGAAACCACTGTTTTTTGAAGTTCCGCTTATTGAAGCAGATCCATTGTTCACTGGTAGATATTGGTTGCTTCAAGAGTTAGAAACAGTAATCAAAGGTTCCAGTCCAGGAGTTTTAATTTCTGGATCTCCTGGCTCTGGTAAAACTGCTCTAATTCTTCAGTTGGTTGAACACAGCTGCTTTGGACGAAGACGAGAACAGTCTTTACGAGCGGAAATCGCTGAATGTGATGAAGATGCGATATACCAAGAGAAGCAAATTTGTTCCACTTTTGAATCGAATATTAAAAGAACAAATGAAAAAATTCGAGAACTTGCATCACATGTTGTTGCTTATCATTTTTGTCAAGCTGATAATAACAGCACCTGTCTTGTACCAGACCTAATACACTCCTTGGCTGCACAATTATGTCAAGCTCCACAGCTTATAGCCTACAGGGAATACCTTCTGTCAGAACCACATCTTCAGGGGTCACTTTCCCAACGAGAATGTACCGTTGACCCTGATCTCGCACTTTCCAGAGGAATTATCGAACCAATGCTGAGTCTCAGGAAATCTGGAAGATTGCCGGAAGTCAATATGGTCAGTAATTTACTCTGTAATTTCAATGTCACTGTAGACTGTGAATGATGAATTGAACGGAAATGATTTATTACTTTCAGGTGATATTAATTGATGCAATATGTGAAGCTGAATATCACAGACCCGACAGAGGTGATACAATAGCATCATTCCTAACACGACACGCCCCGAGCTTTCCTAGTTGGATGAAAATTATTTGTACGGTTCGAACACAGCTTCAAGATTGTGCTAAACAGTTTCCTTATACAAGAATTTCTCTTGATAAGAGCTCCAATGATCCAATTAGTGCCAACATCACGAGAGATCTATCGGATTACATTAATTATCGATTGAATCAAAGTCCAACAATTCAGGCTAACGTAACTGCTTCTATCAATGGGAAAGAATCTTCTTCTGGAGCCAATCAAACAAGATTTGCTTCTCATTTACTTTCCCTAACAGGTGGAAGTTTTCTTTTTGCTAAACTTACCCTTGATCTTATTGAAAGTGGTCATCTTGTTGCCAAATCTGCTAGTTACAAGGTAATTTATCATTTTTTTATTCATCTTATCACATTGAAATCTCAAATGAGTCATTGTAGACTTTCTATTCGGACCGTTTCTAATTTTAACTATTAAGAAATACTATCGTAGATTCTATCGAGTACTTTGAAATAATTATCTGAAGGAATGAATTTAATTAAAGTTTTTTTTTTTAGGTTTTACCGGTGTCCTTAGCTCAGATTTTCCAGTTGCATTTTAATCTCCGATTTCCTACTGCTACATCCTTTGACAAAGTCCAACCACTTCTAGGAGTTTGCCTTGCTGCTTTATACCCACTCACTCTTCCGGAAATCTTTTATTCAGTTAATTCACTCTACACAGATCAGTTCGTTTCATGGGAAGACTTTTTACAGAGATTCAAGGTAAGAATCCTTTAACATGATATTTTTCTTTCATTACAATTTATATAACGAGTTTTTTTCTTGCTGCTTATTGGAAGAAGTAAGTTGTTAGAAATAATTTATAAAGTAATAAAGAAAATTAAAAAGATGAAACGTTTATAATATTTTAATTATATTTTTAGATGCTTTCTGGATTCCTCGTGAAACGACTGGATGATACTTATATGTTTTTTCATCCCTCCTTCAGGGAATGGGTAATAAGAAGAGACGAAGGCGAATCAACAAAATTCCTTTGCGATTTAAGATTAGGCCATGCTGCAATTGCATTCCGATTATCTCGTCTTGATGCTCCTTTAGATGGAGACCGAGTTCTAGAGTTGGGTCATCATGTATTAAAGGCTCATGTGTATCGTGGAGTAACGTCAAATTGGCCTTCTCGTGATCTCCAAGCATGGTGGATAACATCATCAGCAGAATGTGTGTCATCAGCTCTTTGTACTCTACGAAATATTTATAGTCCGAATGTTAAGGTATCGAGATTGCTTCTGCTGGCGGGAGCATCTCCAAATCACATTACAGAATATTTAGGCAATGCACCAGTTCTATGTATGTACGCCCATGAAGGATCAACGGAGATGGTGTCATTATTATTGGAATTTGGTGCTGATGTAGAGTTAACAAATAGTCAAGGATGTACAGCTTTATCTTTAGCAGCATCTCGAGGTCACTGTGACGTTGTAAGAAGATTGGCAGCTGCTGGAGCATCTCTAGGACATTCAGATATGGCTGGGCAGTGTCCACTTGTCCATGCTGCACGACAAGGAAGGCTATCAGTAGTAGGTTATCTTCTGGCGTGTGATTGGGTATCACATCAAGACAGCGAAGAGTCTAGTTTTAGTGAAACATCTAGAGAAGAAGCTGCTCAACAAGCAGTTGTAGCTGCAGCATCTCAAGGACATGAGGCAATAGTTGAGTATCTTTTGGACATGGCTGAGGTTACAGTAGATCGTCCAGATACTTTAGTTGGAGAAACTGCCCTTACGATAGCTTCAGCGCATGGATCAACAGCAACAGTTTCTGCGTTACTTGCACGAGGTGCAAGTCCATTAGCAACAAATGCCAAAGGACTGTCACCATTGATGTTAGCAGCAAGAGAAGGACATTGGGGAACAGCTGAAAGACTTCTTCAAAGCTCTTTATCATCTAGTACTGATACAAACTTAGATAAAGTGACAGCTTTGTTAGATCAAAGAGATTCAATGGGCCGAACTCCATTGATGATGGCTGCTTGTGAAGGTCATACAAATTTAATAGATATATTTTTAGAAAAAGGATCAATTCTTGAAGCTACAGATAAAGAAGGACTCACTGCTCTTGGTTGGGCGTGTGTTCGAGGACGAGTAGCAGCAGTTCAAAATCTTTTAGACCATGGAGCTGACATTAGTAATAATGATAAGACTGGCAGAACACCTTTAGACCTTGCTGCTTTTCAAGGCAATCCAAAATTAGTCCAACTACTTGTAGAGCGTGGTGCTGCTATAGAGCACGTAGATTTACACGGGATGAGACCATTAGATAGAGCTATTGGGTGTAGAAATATTCCAGTTGTTCAATGTTTTTTAAGAAGAGGTGCTAAATTAGGCCCTGCTACCTGGGCGATGGCTCAAGGAAAGCCAGATGTTTTGTTAATCCTATTAAATAAGCTTTTAGAGGACGGCAATGTGTTATATAGAAAAGGAAGATTGAAAGAAGCATCTCATAGGTATGCTTATGCTCTGAGGAAATTCCCTGATACATTTGAACAAATTCAAGATGCTCAGAGTCAAGAGCAGAGTAATTTTATGCTTCATCGACAAACCTTTAGTCAATTAAAGCTCAATTTCCTACTAAATTTAAGTAGATGCAAGCGCAAAATGAACGTAAGTATTAAGTTTTTAATCAATTTATTGAGGTTAATGATCTGTATAATTAATCAATTATGTTTTAATCTCTAGGAATGCGAGGAAGCAATAGAGCTAGCAGATGAAGCCTTAAAAACTCGACCGTTATCTTATGAAGCTTTTTACGCTCGAGCAAAGGCTAAGGTAGACATAGGTTCGTATGAAGCTGCTTTGACTGATGTTCAAGAAGCTTTACAAATAGCTCCAGTGAATAACAGACAAGACAGACGAGTTTTATCAACTTTAAAAGACGAGATCGTTTCCAGGATAGAAGGTACAGGGATTGGTTGCAGTAAAACTTTGATAGATATTTCAAGGACTAGATTCAGAGCATCTATAGACACATTAACTGAGCTTTAAAAGCTTCTCAAGAAGTTTCAAACCGCGACCGACTTTTTATAATCGATTGACAGAGCGTTCGCGCGCATGCGTAAATTTATTTTGTTAATTACTGTATTTATTAATTTGTTTTCCATTGCAACATTAAATTAACTTTAAAGCTTTATGGTAAAAATTTTTTCGTTTCTTTTTTATAAACTATTCAAGGAATTAAAGTTCTATTATTATTTGACGTGCAATCGTTGAAATTCGATCGATTATTCAATTATAAATCGAAAAAATGTTAATATTTATTAGAGTTATATTTATGTATATTATCTTTTGTGTATATTATTATCAATGGAAAATATAAAATTGAAATTATTGGCTTTGTTATATATTAAATTCAAAAAGTAGAATGAAAAATGGAGAGTAGAGAATGAAGAATGTTTTATTTCAGTATTTTTAATGCTTGAGATGATGAGACTTGTCATAAATTTTTTTCTTGCCACATTTTTTATTTAAAAAGAATAATAAACAAATATGTTTTATTCGATTGTCTCTAAGAACTCAATGCATGTTTCCTATGTACTCAGAAGTTGAAGTACTTTATATATATTATAAAAATAAGATCAATAAAAATTGTATTCAAAGAACAAAGGAAATTATATCTAATCAGACGTTAAATAAACAAAAATGTTTTTATTAAATTGTAAATGAATAGATTTATAGTTATTTAAGAATACTCGTTCCTTGTACTTAAAACTTCAAACTTCAAATACATCCAAATTATTTTTTTTCCATTTTACACAAGACGTAATTAGTATCAATGTTATTTATATTCAAGTTTTTTTGTCATTTTTATATTTTAAAAGTAAATTCTTTTCAACGAATAAAGGCCAAGATTTTGTTGTAAAAAAATCATTGTTTTCTACTTGATATTAAAAATAAACTGTATATTATAATTTATTTTTGTTAAGCTCATTTTAAAGAGAAAAAATCTTTCCAAAAATGAGTGGTGTAAATATGTCTATTATTATAGTATAATTATCATTATTTTTAATATCATCAATATATTATGTAATGAAAAAAGAAAAATATGTTTTTTTTAAATTAACGATTTGTACGTATTGTTAACAAATTTTCAAATTTATCCACATTCATATGTTAACTATTCTCTTCGTCCGGCTATACCTTTGCCTTTACCACTTTCATCAAAGCGTTGTTTGTGAGATCCCGTATATTTCGAGACGTCTGTTAGTCTATCGACGGTCGATGATGTTTTTCCGCTCTGAAAGAGATATTTTTCATTTGGAAACTATTTGAAATATTCTATTAATAGATAAATTATTATCAAAAAAATTAATAATATTATTTATAAATCAAGTCAATAATATAATTTGATACTATTCAATATTTCAACTTACTGATCCAGAAAGACTACTGGTTACACCAGGTGTTCCACAATTAGCCATTTTAGTCATTAATTCGTTTGCATCTATTTTCTTTGTTTTAGCCAAATCTTCAATGAATATTTTGTATTGGTCAAAAGTTAATTTCATTGCTCTGAAAACATAAAAATTCAGTAAAGTTAATTTATTTATTCTGGTCTTATTTACATTGTTAACTGAATCCATTATTTGTACTATTTAATTGACAGACAATTTCTATAATAAAATACAATTAATTTAAAATAAATAATTTTTTAAAATATTCTATTTAAAATTGATGTCAAGAGAACTATATTAATATTTATATTGTTTGATGAAATGATAATTAATTATTACTTTTGTTTTTTAAAATGTATTCCCGTATCAGTTGTACTGATTCGCTTATCGAAAATTTTAGCTTGCTTCATCCATTTATCACTTTGACTCAGAGAAATAGTTTTACCATCACTCTTAGAATCTCCAAATTTGGAGAATGCTTTAAAACTACTTGCAAACGATCCACCACTAGAACTATCTACACTGGTCTTTTGAGGAGTTTTTTCCATTATTTTAGGTTCTTCTACTGATTTGGATTTTACTGGTTTAGATTCTGTTATTGATTTGGTATCCTCTTTTTTATTCACCGCAGACTCCACTGGTTCTGCTGTTTTAGATGCTATTTCTTCCTGCATTTAGCTGTAACAATATTCTTTATCAACAAAATTTATCTTTTAAAACTAATCGAAATAGTTTTTATATTTATGTAAGCATACTTTACAACCATTTTTGTGCATTTTTAGATCTCCATTATTCAAAATATAGAAAATAATAATTTTGAATAAATAGTTTACAAGAATTTTCGTTAAAAAAATGTCTAAACTGTTTGACCAATTAATAACTTGTGTTTTGTTACTTGCAGACAAAAAACAGTCAAATAATATTTCTAGTGTTTTAAATTAATAAGTCGAAATAACTGGAATTAAAGCTAAGAGTAAAATTAAATTATTAAAATAGATGAAAAAAAAGGAATGGAAGAAGTAAAATATAAGTGTCTCAAAGACTTTCAGGTCATACGAAAATATAAATGACTATTACACCCTGAAAAACATCAACGTTAGTATACATATACTCATAGTTCCTCCTAGATTGACTCTAGTAGCACGTGTTCCAGCCAAACTGTTAATTCATACCTATAAATAGCTATTACGTAAATTGTCTGTTAACTTGATTAACACTACACTCTATCAATAATTTTTTTAGTCATAACAATTAGCATCCTAATAGTTCAGAATCCTGTGTGAATAAAAACTCTCTTATTAAACTTTTTAATTATAATTATTTTTGAAATATTGATCATCAAATATTCTCTGAATCCATACTCTTTTATTCAAGTCCAATGACCAATAGCAATTCATGAATCTCTCGAAGTGAATTTAAACTTACATATTAAAATAGTTGAACGATATAATTCGTAAGATGATGGTGAAATAGGAATCTGGATGTGTGCAGGAACGCGCATGTGTTTTATTGATTATGAAAGTGAATAAGAAAAGTAAAACTGACGTCTCTTTTGTTCATATTCTATAATACTACCCTTCGTTATTTGAATAAAATATATTATTCGATGTATATAATTAAAAAACAAAGTGAATGGAAAACATTCACTCAAAAAAGGAAAACTTAAACAATGACAACCAACTTTTGTTTATTTTCTATTACCTTGAGCTTTCATTAATATTACATGAGAAACTCGTTAAACTACTTGACATCATATCTAATGTCTTTCACAATTAATCAAGATAAAATTACAATTAGAAATATTATCACCTTATACTGAAGATCGAAATTGAAGATAGATTTCTGATTAATTGATAGAAAAAAATTTCACCAGAATTTCCGGCTAGATACCATAAATTTCAATAAAAAACTTTGATTAGATATTTTCTATTCAATGATTGACTGATTATCTCTCATTTATAATTCAGATGATGTCACAATTACATGAACAGGTGATGTGAGACACACTGAAGATCTAAAACCAACAATTGACTGATAATAGTAGCAATGTTAATGGCAGTGATTGTTTGTTACACGAATTCTTTTTAATCAACACTATTTATATTACTTTTTAGTGATCACCCAAAAGTTGTATTTAAGTCTGGTCAATACTTATATTGTACTCTGGAGTTATTTACACTAGTGAAATAACAAGAAGGAACCCAGGAACTCGACTGAGGTGGTTATCACGTTGAATAGCTTCGTCCCCTCTGTGTATTCTCCCCACTATAAATACTATGTTGTTTCGACCCGCGCATTATGCACTAGAGTTGATTCGTGACGCTCAAATTATCATTAAAAATGTGTGGTTGATACCTATCATTAATGATTTTTAAGTTAACTCAAACAATAAAAATGTTCAATAATCATCATAGACCTTCGACTAAGCTTCTATCTAATGACCTTAAGGCTTGAATGCTATAAATTTTTAATAACTTGGCAAAGTCAAGAAATGAGGGCTTGTAGAACATTTTAACTTTTAAGGTTATTGTTTCTAATCTAAAATAGACATTAGCGTGTGAAATCAAAGTTAATTTTAGGCTGTACATGTTAAGATAAGAAAAAATATCCTTAAATTTTTTTGAAAAAGATTAAAATCAGTAACAATCAATGGTAATGCGTCTCAGGAAAAGAAGTCAGTATTAAGTCAGACATTTTGGTCATTAGATTTACAATTTTAGGAATTGTGCAATGTTTTTTTCATCAATTATTATAGGATCACTTATTATTCATAAATTGTGAATTATTGAACGATTAATTAAAGTGTATTAAAGCTGGTTCAATGATTAGGTACTAGATAAGAAATGTTCAGTCGTTAATAAGACATTGATTGGATAAATAAGACATGATGAAATAAAAATTTATAGCCTGATATATCATTGAAGAAGATTGTTGCTGATATTTCTGACAATTGGAGTTTACCACTTGTATATTTAGTTTGTTTGATATAAACTTGTTGCTCATGACACGCAAGCTCTGTTACTCTTTTTTTTATTTAATCAAGACAGGTGGTTGTGTGTGCTCTTTAGTCATCTTTATATTGATAAATGATAGCATGTGATGAAAGGTCCTACTTTACGAGACGTTCATGATTACAATGCTATAAATAGATGTGCATTAATAAATGTTATTACTTTTGTTGATATTTCTGAGCTAAAAATATTATCATTGAATGAATAAAAAAATTATTAAATAATCATGAATATTTATAAAACTAAGATGAGATGAATTTGATAATGAGAATCAATTGAATGTGATTTGATTAATTGAATAATTATTGAAGAATTATAAATGATTGTCTCGTAAATAATCAACTAAAATAGTTAGTCTAACATAGAGATGTAATCAATCGCTTTTTATTGTAATCACAAACGGAATAATTTTAATTTTAGTATTTAATATAGGACAATCATGTCATAAATTATAACCTTTCCTTTGTGTTGAGTCAGTTATTTTATCATGATTTTTAAAAAACACAACCTTTATTTCCTTGTGAATTTATGATTAGACTTACCAAAACGATGTAACGAAGATTTTTTTATCATCTTCATTGGAGTCTTATGGTTAAATACAATGATTTTCATTATAAATACCGTTAATAATAAAGATGTAAAGTTGTATTTACATATTTTCGAAGTAGGAGCCATTTTGTGACGTCACGTCTATAGAGTGACTACTACTGCCCTCAAGTTTCAATTTAGGATATGAGTGTATTTTTTCTTAAGTAATTGTCGATCATTGTTTATTTACAAAATTATTTATAAAATTGTGTTCTATAATGAGTGAAATTGAATGGCCTTGGCAATACAGCTTTCCTCCTTTCTTTACGTATGTATCTTTTTCTATTTATTCTATTGTTTAATAATTAACTCTTAGTTTTGGAGCATATATCTTCCAATATTGAATGAAACGGTATAATCAAAAATTTTTCTAAAATTTGGAAATTTCAATTACATTCTTACGTATTCTTGTATATTAACATCAATTCTAATGATTATTTTATAAGCTATTAAAATGGTTTTTATATTTAAGGTTAGATAGTTAGTCATCATTATTTCACATTTCCCCAGCTGTTCTTATTGAAAAATAATTTTTTTAATTATTGTAGACTTCAACCCCATGCTGACACAAAAGAAAAACAATTATCAGCATGGACCACTTTAGTTTTGGATTACTATAAAGCAACAAAACAAGCAATATTGGATATTAGAGAGATTCATTCTAGTCCACTATTCAACAATGCTTCAATAAAAAGTAAGTATTGAGATAGCTATGCTCTAACAACTGATAATTGAACAATATTTAATTAATTATATTAGGAAAGCTACCAGCAGAAGTCGTATTGATAATTTTAGAAAGTTTATATAAGTCCGGAAATGCAGCTCCTTTAGATAAATCAAAACAACGGTGGTTAATTTATTGGCATACGTTAGAAGAATGGGCAGATATTATTTATAATTGGGTACAAAACAATGGATTCACTGGAACAGTGTGTACACTGTTTGAATTAACTCAGGGAGAAAATATTGTGGATGAAGGTAAGCCTCTTCACAATTTTAAAATCACTACTGTGACATAAATTATTGATATAAGGGTGAAAAATAACAACATATTTTTTAATAATAAAATATTGTACTGTATTTACAGAATTTTATGGGCTGGATACAGAAATTCTGGTGAAATCACTGAAAATATTAGAATCACAAGGTAAAGCAGAATTAATCATTTTCGACGATAATCAGGGTGTTAAATTTTTTTAACAATCAAATTAATATATAATAAAATATAGTATATGATAACATTTTATTAATACATTTAAATAGTATTTATTTTTAAAACAATTTTAAAGTAAAAACAAATATATTTTATAAGAAGAAATTTAAAATGCATTTACTTCGGAGTTCCTTTCTGTAATATTTTAAAATAATCTTCTTATTAAAATAATTTTCTTATTGTCTATATTAATTAATTATTGATAACAATTTTCGTTCCATATACATAATTAAGAAGTGTATAATAGATACACAATAAGATCGCAATGTAATATATAAAAATATCAGCACCGTTGGTCAGCTTACATTTATCATTTTACAGTTTGTTGGTTAAATCACATTAACGAATTTTATTTTTTTTTTGTTTTTGAATAAGTAATGGATTTTACTACAATACGTAGTATAAAGTGATTGGCTCTTTATCTCTAGCGTATTTTAACATTGATAATGAGTTCATAACATTAACTAAAAATGATATTAATAAATAACATTTCATGTCGCAAGACAAGTGTTGTCTATACTTTTTTTGATTTTACAATTAGAGTAACAATTTTATTTATAAAGTATAAAATTTTTTTTACTTTCACGTTTATCATTTCTATCTACAACACTCTTTGGCATGAGTGTTCAACTTGTGAAATTAATATTTTCATAAAATTAAGAGTATCAATTACTGCATGATGTGAATATGTAAGTATAAATGACAGTTTTTAAAAAATTTTCGAAAGAATTTATCAATTTTACTATTTCATTAGCTTCAAATCTCAATATTTATAAGTATTTAAAACAGTTGAACTATAATTACTAATAGAGCTCCTTACACTTCTTTGTATTATTAATATCTTATTATATCTGGCAAGTTTAATGAGTATTTGCACTCCTTAACAGGAATACTTGATATCACTAAATAATTTTGATTTACTTAATCAATGTAAGTATCTCAATGCAGGATTTTTTGACTGAATATAGAATTCGTCAACGGTCAAATCCTTTTAACTGACTGAAACAAAAAAAAACACACACTCATTTCATCAATTTTATCGTTGCATAAAAGATGAATTATGCATCAACTTTGCTTAATTGTGCAAGTTCTACAGCTTCCTCTTGTTGTCTGGCATTTATTTCATCGAGTTCTCCTCTACTCATGTGTTCTATGATACAGGCTCCTAAAGCATCACAAACAACATTGATTGTTGTTCTAAATCGGTCCCTAAAAAACAAAATAAACCATAAATTTGAATTATATACAAAAAACCTCAGCAGAAAAAATTATTTGAATTATTTAAATATTGAATTAACAAATTAAGTTGAGAAAAAAACTAATCTGGATATATTTTGAATCATCAATAAACAATATCGTTTAATAAATTAGCAAAACAGCATGAAGAAAATAAAACAAATGAATATATTATATAGTCATCACGAAAAAGCAAATGATAATAAACAAAGGGTTTTAAGAGTTTTAAGTATAGATTAGTGAGAATATAAAATTCTTACAAGAGCCAGTCAACTGCAATGATTAGCGATACATCTTCAGCAGGTAGTCCAACAGTATCAAGGACCATAACCATTGTTACTAGACCTGCTTGAGGTATTCCAGCAGCACCTATACTAGCTGCTGTTGCTGTAACACTAGATATATCAAAAAATAAAAATTTATTCGGAAAAAAAATATACTATTATGCTGATTAGTATTTTTTTTTTTTACGTACCTGACGCCTATGACTTTGCTGAGAGACATTTCAATCCCACGAACTTGAGCGATGAATATCGCCGCTACAGCTTCATATAATGCTGTACCATCCATATTAATAGTAGCTCCAATAGGAACAACAAATCTAGTTATCCTTGGATCTAATCCCATATTATCTAGACACTGAAGAGTAATAGGAAGAGTTGCGGAACTGGAAATTTATGTAGTATATAAAGAATAATATTTTTTATAGAGAAATGTATTAAATTTAGATAAAAATATTGTGAAAGATAAATTTACATGAATAGAAAGTAAAAGTTATAAATAACTGATAATTGATTATAAGATCAATGTACCTTGACGCTGTTCCGAAAGCCGTAATAGCTACTTGACCCATTTGACTTATGGCTTTGAATGGAAGCTGACGAGTACACACAAAGTAGATAATAGATAGAGTACCAAAACCATGGATAAATAATCCTAACAGCACTGTCATAAAGTACCAACCTAAAGTACCAACAAGAGCACCAAAATTGTCGATTTCTAAAAGTTTTGAAGCTACGAGGAATGTCACACCAATTGGTGAAATCCTAATTATATAAAATAAGAATAACAAATTCATTTATAAGCAAATTTTTTTAATTACATGGAACCAAAACTGCATTAATTTGATTTTACCAAATCACCCAGTTGGTGATGATCATCATTGCTTCAGACAAAGATGTGAAAAAGTCAAGTAATGGTTTGCCTGACTCTCCCATTTTTCCAACAGTTATTCCCAATATGATTCCGAAGATAACGAGACCAAGTGTATTAGTACCATCAGAATATTTTGAACCGACATTCCAATCATATAATGATTTAACTGAAAATAGAGCCATTATATCGATTTATTAAACAAGGTAATAAAAGAAATTTTATTTATTGAAGAGATTTTAATATTTATGATTACAATTATTTTTTCATTTTTGAATAAAACATTAATAAGTATGTATAAATAATCCGTCTCGAAAAATTTAAATACCATTAAAATTAGATATGAATTACGAGTATGACAAAATATTCTAATTGATAAATTCTCAGTGAACTTCGAGATACCCTTCCCTCTAATCTGCAATAATTTCATTGATGGCCTTGATTAATAAATCAGGAAAAGAAATCATTCATTAGTGAGATTTAGTACCACATCAGTATAATTATTGCATAGAAATAAATATTATCTCTCTTGCTTTCATCCATTTTATATGAATAATGTCATTAATGAAATGTATAATTTAGCGAATTAAAACTTACCACCAGTCATATTTTTTGGCTCATGTAGCTCAGTTTGATACTGAAATATTAAAATATTTGTTCAATATTATTAATTTATCCATAAATTAATGTAATTATTAGTTATTATTATTCAAACTATAAAAGTGATAAACACATGGATGTCAAGGGAACAAATATTTTATCTATTCAATTAAAAAAATATTTATTATTAAATCATTTAATTAATATTAAAATTTAAATTAAAGGTACAGAAAAATAACTCACGTGTTCTAGGGCAGCTTGTATTAAATTTGGAGGAAAAATATTTCTGTAAATAAAAAGCTTAATTTAGATTACTATTGATTTGAATATTCAGGTAGGCCTACAAATAACATAGATTTAAATTTACTATTGAAATTATTCTAGCTTTATGAAATAAGTATTTAACGAAAAAAATTTTTCTTCAATTAAAAATGTTTAATAGATTCATATTTATTTATGAATGAATTTTATACCTAACTAAATCCAAAAGTGTATCGACTGTCGTAATATTTCTTGGTGGTGCATATGCACCTTTTTCATTTTTGAAAGTATCCGAATCTTTAATCACACCTGGACGGATTGTTAATACTAGGAAAATACCCAGTATTACAGCAGTAATTGTTGTTGTACTATAATAATATATTGATCGCATACCAATTTTTCCTGCAATTTAAATTCTATATATCATTCTTAGTAATCAATTATTATTCAATATTAATTAAAAAATCATCAAATAATTAGTATACTACAATATTAAATTGTAAAGCAATCTATGTTATTTATTATCAATTTGAAATATGTTTTTCTGGATATTTGAATACTTGGGTTGTCTTATAAAGAAGCAACATCACATTAATGTAAGATATTTTAGTATATTTACGATAGATTCATTACATCATCATTGTGACTTTAGATATAGTATTGTAGAGTGTATTCAGTGTAAACAGAATTTTTCTACGTAGATCGTGAAAAAAATAACTATAAAATATCCCCAAAAAAATCAGTCTTTTCTACACATACCTGAATGGTCTTTGTTGATGCTTTTATTCAATTTAATAATGGACCATGTGTGATTTTAAAAAGTTTACTTGATTAAAATAAATAAGAAATATCAAGAAAATTTCCAAAGAAGACATTTTCATTTATGTCAAATCATTACTTTTACTTTTTGAAAATAAAAATATTTAATAAATTTAATACTGTTTTATTTAACACTGAAAGAAATGACAAGTAACAAAAATTTGAAAACTATTCGAATGTTTCAAGAATATTTTATAAAAACATTAATTAATTTATTTATTACATATGAAATTACAAAAACTTTATGATATATGATTTATAAAGATTTTAAAAAAATTTGATAAAATAACTTACCAGACAAGCTGAGATCCAGACTACCAATAGCTGCAACAATACTCGCAACAATGAGTGGTAAAATAAGAGATTTTAGCATCCGAAGAAATAAATCTCCAGTAAAATGAACATACATAATTTCTCTGTTTGTCCATGGTGTACTTTTAACTGCTCTGAGAGTGAATCCAAGTCCTACTCCAGCAAAAACACCGACAACTGTTAAGACAGTTAATAAATTTTCGGACATACAATTTTTCCATTTCTTTGGTCTTGCCATATTGATGGTCTGGAATGAACATAAATGTATATTATCACTTTAATTGAAAATATCAACATGGAAACAGTAGGTGAAGTGAGCAATCATAAACAAGATAATGCAATAAACATGTAGGTAAATGTAGTGTACACACGTTGTAATGTAAAATGACAAAAAAAAGTGGAACGTAAAACAAGTTTTTGGCTGAAAGTGAAGATAATTTATCTTTTATTCACAACATGATGAGATTTTTCGCACTACCATATATGTTTAAAAAATACTGAGTCTTCAAAAGTTTTCAGAACCGTTGATAATTGATGGTCAATCATCAGCAACCAGCTTATCGATTCACTGAATTTTTTTGTTGAAGGTGACCAAATAGTTGAGCTTTCATCATGAAAAATTACTTTGGAAAATCATAATCATACTATTAACTTTAAAAAACAACTATTCAGCAAAATAATAAAAGTTTCATAAACAAATAATAGCAACTTTTATTGATCATATTAATTCACTAATTGTAGCTTTTATTGATTTAATAGCTAAATCAATCTTACAGTCATGTTAGCGTCCGTAAAATATTATTCATCAATTATTTATTTCACAAAAAAAAGATTGAATTCGAAGGAATTAATTTTCCAAATTAACTTGGTGTATAAAATACAACATGCTGCTTTATAATTTCTGGTATTTATATTAACTGATATGTGTTTATTGCACTCATGAAATATGAATATACTTTTTACAGATAATATCCATCTAATGATGAAAAATATTCTATGTTTCATTACGATAATTAGTCATATTTATTCCTTATCATTTGACTGACATATTAGTTAGTAGCTATTGTTATTGTTTAATTTGTAATGACTTTTATTTATGCTGTAACTTGTCAAAAAATATTGGTACAGGGATTTAAAATTATTTTTATGTAAGTTAGTAATTATTAATGGTAATTTTATAAATTAATGTACACATGTATATATATATATATATATATATATACATAAGATAAATTCCTAACGGTATCGATGAATGCTATAATGTATGTTGTAATTTTTCTACCTTCGCGCCTCACAAAGTTGTTGAAGTATTTTTCAAATGCTAAGTTGTGAAGATAACTATTATGAAAAGATATCAATCTTTAAAGTGATACTTATGAAATTCTTATGTAAAAAAATAATTATCTAGTGTTTTAATAATTTCATGTGACTGAGAATATGTATTATTTATTTCATAGTTTTTGAGAAATTAAAAGATTTATAGACAACGTGGCAATCATAAGATACTTACTGGTAATTAAATTGAATTAAAATAAAAAATTGTTGATATAAAACACTTTTATTAATGCACAATTATCAATAAAAGCTGTTGATATATTTACATAAATAAAGATAAAACTTAACACTGAAGAGTAAAAAAATAGACAAAGGGTTTGGATGTGTATTCGTGATCACTGTTTGTTTCGAACTGGTTGAGAGTCAGCGACTTGCGGAATTCTTCATCGTGTGGAAGCAACATGTGTGTGTTCAAATCAGTCGGGTAAACCAGTACATATAGGAAGGGGGAAGATATTTGCCATTGGCTTATGCGTTAAATTAATATGTGAGAAGTATGATATTACTATTGTCCATGTGTTTTTACATGAAGCATGGTTACAATTCAAGGGAGAATCCAGATTTTAGTATTTGCATCCAAATTCCTATTGTATTAATTAATCTAGAATGGAGTACTGCAAAAGGAATATTGATCTTATAATAATGTTTGCAAATTTATTTTTATTCACTATCTGAAGTTTAGATGTTTACTATATCAGACAAATATGGAAAAGCTTATGAAATTATCATGTGACCGACCCAAAAAATAAGGCCTCTTCAACCATTTTTTTATCTCACATCATGCTTTTTTATTTTATCTCATGTTATTCTTTTATTTTGAACTTTAATTAGATGTATTAAATCGTGGGATAAAAGGATAAAACTTCGTTCCCGACAAAATGATCATTTTAATAATTATTTTCATCAATATTTAAAACTCTCAAGTGTTAATTTGATTACGTAACTAATTGAGAGTTTGTTGTCAAATATTTAATAAGTAGAACTCGATGTTAGTGTAGTATGTTAATAATACATTGTTTAAAATATTATTTATAACTTTATATTAAAATAATACTTGAGTCTAAAGATATATTCATCTTAAGAAGTAACTAAGCAATTACATAGAAGAATGAGAACCAGGAGGTAATATTTATGTAAGACACGATTTTTTGGTCTTGACTATGGAGATTAGTATTGATTAGATAATATAAAATTCTATACTCGATATCGGTTAGATTTCATGACTAGGATGCTGTTTGCAAATTTAGATCTCAAGAAATCTTTGTATCATATCAACCAGACATGAAAAAAAATTTTTTTTTTACTTTTAGAATTTACAATTTCTATGATCATAAGTGTTTAAACACATAAACGGATAAAAGTGAGTTTGTTATTTAAATGATACAATATGACGACCTTCTAATTTATTCATCATTTGTGAAAATTACTGTGGGAATTATGTATCAACTTAAATGCTCACAAAATACGTACACAATAGTTGAACTAATTAGATTGAGGTCGACGCGCCAGTTTAATTATATTGCTTTGAATATAAGCAGTTGTCATTTTATTTAGGAATTTATTTCGGTATTATCATATTTAAATACATAGAAACGAAATAGTCTCGTTGGATTTTTAGCGATTTTTCAATAAGATGTGTAATTGACTTAATTGACATAATATAAGAACACATAGTTTTATTTTACTTTTTCTCAATTGAGTTGACTTGATAATGGAAAATTTATTTTAATATCAGTTTTGCATTAATTGAAGTTATAAAATATTGGAATTACTGATTATTTTATTACTTATATAGGTATTGAATAGCTTTTTTCAATGAAATTGTATAAGTCTTGAGAATAACTGAATTTATGAATGAGCTACACATGATAATCATACTTAGGATAGTTTACTTGAACAATTAAATGCTTAATAACGGCCATAAAGATCATTTTCATCATTATCACAGTTTCCGCGTTATTTTAAATATAAATTCGCAGAAATTAAAAATCATTTCCTATCGTGATTATTGATAACAAAATTAAACAGACAAATAATACTGTTTTAGTAAGATAATTTATAACAATATTTTGTAAAATGTGTTTTAAAAAAAAGCACCAAAGTACAAAACTGAATTATTTATTTATTAATATCTTGAAGGCCGAGTAACAAAAATGAGTAAAATATTTTTCAATTTTACATCAGTCATCCTTAAACTATTTCAAAATTCGCTGATGAGTAACAAAATTTTCATTTTATTATTCTAAATAAATGGAGTCAATATTATTGAATTATAGTAATGATATTCATGTTAATAATATAAGATAGATTAATATTTTTCCATAAATTTAAATTATTATATCATTGCTTGTTTTAACAGTTGTAATAAAGTGATTATTGGAATTATTTAATTAACGAGTATATTTTTTATAAATAAGTTGATCAGAATGTATTTGAAAAATTATAAATTACATGAGACCTTTTTTAAATTCATTTAGTAAATAAAGAAATCAAGTAGTAATTAAATGACATAAAAATATTTCAAATAAAAATAATTTTCCTTTTTATGTTAGGGATTTATGTATTCTATGAGAAAACTTTTATTCCCTGATATGAGTAAAGGCACGTTGGTTAATTTAATATAGTAATTCATTTACACTTATCTTAAATTATTCTAAATTCATAATTTATTCATATAATGACAATGTAGCAAATAATTCAATTTTTTTAGTAAACAAAATAAGAAAATAAAGTAATTCTTGTCATGTTATTGTCATTTATATTATAGTAATTATTAGAATTTAGGTAGCAACGGTTTTATATAACATGTCCTAAATGTATTTTTAATAAAAAATAACTTCCATGGTTTTCATATAAAAATTTGATACGAATTATATGAAAAAAAAAAACTCTTCAAGGAGCAACTTGGTATAAATTTGAATCTAGATGGTAGGCTCCACTTTATTTTCTCAAAACAATCTTTTAAAAACAGTTTTGATCTTTAGTTAAAAATCTTATCATACGTTACTAGAAACATTAAGAATATTTACAAGACTTCATTGACATTTCCGGAATGACAGATTGAAGTATACAAAGAAAAAAATCAGAAGAGCTCATATTAAATCAACGAAGGATGAATGAAGTAATTTTACAGATATGTAACTATGAAGAATTATGATTGTTGATATTGGAAAACGATGATTTAATTTCAAGTGAAGCCTCATTATATAATTGAGAGAAACTATCATGATAGAAGTGTATGTAGTTTGTTACACTTATTAAATTAAATAAGCTCTTCTGAAATTTTATTGACAATAATCATTGAAATGATGTTGATAGATAGAAGGACGTAGAAGCTTACGGAAACATCAATTATTTGAGTCTGGAGGCGGGCTGGTTATTTTTCTCTTAAATAGTAGAATATGTGGCTCTGTAAAAAGAAAAGATATGTAAATTATCACCATAGAAATACTACTTGTTGAAAAAAGAATAAATATTTTTGGAAAATAATGTTATTTACCTGGATCGTGTCTCATGTAATGTACCCAGCCTCTGCTTTGTTGAACACCAAGTTCTCTCCATTCTTGTTCGGACATTAAATGAGTTGTCGGTACTTTTTTTTCTAGTTCTTTGGGAAGCACAACGTGTCTAAAATTGAATTTTAATCAATGAATTATAATTATATAAACGAATAATGTAGTACTGTTAAAGTATTATTATTAAATAGAAACTATGATAGATTAAAAAAAAAAAAAAATTAGTTACAAATCATGTTTTTCGGCTAAAAATATTTTCAACATATTGATATACATTATTGTGATTCATCTTTATAAAGATCATACATTAAATGAAATATTGAGAATAAATTAGTCACAAAACTGATTGCCACGAAAAAGAACGAAAAGTGATTCTAGAGTTTATATAAACGCATAAGATCAATCATTTAAAGTGACATCTTCTAAAACTGTACGTAAAAAGGATTATAGAAAAGTCTAGAATAACTTAAACAAATTTGGAGAAGTTTAAAGGTTAATCACCAATAAGAACATTTCTGTCAACACTGTTTATACTTCGTTTAGAGATCATTTGAATTAAGTAATAAATTCTCAAATTTAAAATAGAAATTTTTTTTACTTAGAATATTACGTATCTAAATTCAAACAAAAGAATTCTGAACGATAGCAAACAATACAAATCTTGAGATCTAAATTATACATACCTGTACTCATATTCATCGTCGTAGTATTTACCAGAGTAGTAAATTTCAGGCATTTTTTATTTTTATTGGTATTGAATCACAACTTGGAATATTTATCGATACGATTAGTTTGGTTTTTGCTATCACACCGTAAATTCACTTTTCTACACTTCCAAAACTGTACAGATTATATCGCATATGGCTGTCGAATTTAAAAATAACGGATGTAGAATCTTCGATAGTGGGGGAAATTTTACAATCAATTTACCAATAAATAATTTATATTTTATTTCAATTTTAGACAAAATTTTCTCCATATTATAATTTAAACATGAGCTTTTGATAAAAATATTTTAAACAGTTTTTTTACATTAAAAAATTTTTTTTTTATAATTCATTAAAATTTTTTTCAAAAATTTCAATTATAAAATTGATTTGAGTAGTCAACAATCAGCTGATGTAAAGCGCCCCTAACGTTAAAAAAAACAAGTATGTTACGATTGAAGCGCCACATATCCATACTTTTATTAATTAAAATTCTGTCATCATAATTTAGAGGTTATGTATTGGAAGAGTTCATGAACACTGTGTTTAGTTTATTTCCTAAATAGTAGTTAATTACTCTTTAAATAAAATTAAAATGGAAAGATATTCTCGTAAAAGTGGCTATGACAAATCTGAATCGCGAAATGATAAATATTACAAAGAAAAATTTAAATACAGAGATTTTGACAAATATCGGGATAACGATAAATACTCAAAGTCAAACAAATCATCAAAAAATCTTGATGATTCTAAGACGAAATCAAAGCATAAGAGATCTTCCCGTTTATCTAGTAGGAAAAAAACTTCTAAACATAAGAGTCGTAAAAGGTGAATAAACTATTCTATTTGCTATAAGTAAAATAATATTTGGAATCATCATCAATTGTAATGTATATAAATATAATGACAATAAATGATTCATTTTTATTTTATTTAGATCTTCTTCATCTTCATCGTCATCATCATCATCATCATCATCATCATCATCATCATCATCAACTGCTTCTTCAACGTCTTCCAATTCATCAGCAGACTCAACAAAATTGTTAGAAAAATTAGAGAAGCAACGTCAAAAACAAATAGAGGAACGTAAAAGGCAAAAAGAATTATTAAAAGCTACAGAAACACCAGAAGAGAAAAGATTGCGTCGTTTGAAGAAAAAAGAAGCAAAAGAACGGAAGCGTAAGGAACGAATGGGTTGGGATAATGATTATTTACATTATACAAATACAGATAATCCTTTTGGGGATGGAAATTTACTCTCAACTTTTGTTTGGTCTAAAAAACTTGAAAAAGAGGGATTACTTGGAGTTAGTCGAGATGAACTTGAACAACGTAATCGTCATAAACAAGAAGAGAATCGACGGGAGTTAGAAAAGGTCAAAAAAAGAAGACAAGAACGTGAATTAGAAAGACAACAAAGAGAAGAAGAAATGAGTATGTTACAAAGAGGCAAAGAAGCAGCACAATTAGAGCAATGGGCTAGACAAGAAGATCAATTTCACTTAGAGCAAGCACGTTTAAGATCGCGAATTCGTATTCAAGATGGTAGAGCCAAACCAATTGATCTTTTAGCAAAGTATATTAGTGCTGAAGAAGAAGTCGATGCTGTTGAAATGCATGAACCTTATACTTATTTACGAGGATTGCATGTGAAGGATTTAGAAGATTTGATCGAGGATATTAAAGTTTATAAAGAATTGGAAAGAGGTAAGAATCTTGATTACTGGAATGATATAACCGTAATTGTTGAGGATGAACTTCAAAAACTAAGAAAATTAGAACGAACAGAGTATGAAGTGGCGGTGGGTCGAAGAGAGGGAATTAATGAAGCAGTTGCCAAAGATATTACTTCAATATTTAAAGGCAAAACTGCAACTCAGTTAGAGACAATGCAGTTACAAATTGAATCAAAAATATCCGGGAAACCTGAAGGTGTTGATATTGGATACTGGGAAAGTCTTTTATCTCAATTAAAAGCTCATATGGCTCGAGCTCGACTAAGAGATCGACATCAAGAAAATTTAAAGAAGAAATTAGAAGTCCTTATTGCTGAACAGGGAGTAGCTAGAGTCGAAAGTGAAGCTGGTGAGACTGAAGCTCGTAGTGAAACTTCGGTTAAACCACCAGAAGAATCAGCTCCAACTACATCACAAGAAAAAAGTGATGATGAATCGGGTGATGAGCAACCAGAAACTCATGTTGCAGAAGATATGTTATCTGAGTCATTTGGGGAATATGAATCTGGTGGTTATTCGCCCCAGTATCTTTCAATATCACAATTAGAGCCCGGAACACTAATTACTTTAGAAGAGGATGATAGCCAACGACTAGAGTATGCAAGAGATCAAGTACTTAAGACTGGTCGTAAAGTTCAGAGTGCTATGTCTGCTGAAGAGCAAGCAATGCACAGAGAAGCGCGGAAAAATATGGAAAGTGACGAAGCACAATTTAGCGTCGAATCATCATTAGAAGCACAAATTTATTTGTGGTCTGATAAATATAGACCTAGGAAACCACGATACTTCAATCGTGTACATACAGGTTTCGAGTGGAATAAATACAATCAGACTCATTATGATATGGATAATCCACCACCAAAAATAGTTCAGGGTTATAAGTTCAATATCTTTTATCCTGATTTAATCGATAAAAGTACTACTCCAGAATATTTTTTGGTAAGGTTCATTCACTCAATGTTGATTTAATATTTAATCAATTTCATTCTTACAAGATAATTAATTAATTATTTTATTTCAGACGCCTTGTAATGACAACAAAGATTTTGCGATTTTAAAATTTCACGCGGGACCCCCATATGAGGATATAGCTTTTAAAATTGTCAACAGAGAATGGGAATATTCATACAAACGAGGTTTTCGGTGTCAATTTCACAACAACATTTTCCAGCTGTGGTTTCACTTTAAACGATACCGATATCGTCGATAACTTTCACTTAAGTTATATAAATATACGAAAAATTTTATATTCCTATTTTCTTGCAATATATATATATTGTAGAATATTGGTAACTTACATTATAATTTATTTTAAATATTCAATTTTATTTTATTTATATGATTGATTTTTATAAAATTATTCAAAATTTTTGTTTCATAGTCCACCGGTTAATGTCATAATTAATTAATACCTATATTAAAAATGTCCAAACAAATAGATGACGTTACTGTGGAAAATGATTAACTTTGACATCATCAATGAGATAAGAGATCTTGACATGAAAAGAAGATCGATTATTCATAAAAAAATTGATCGCTTGAAAAAGTAGAAGGATGAAACGTTATCAGGTGACCACCATGTGTTATAATGGTAACATACTTTGTTAGATTGGACAATTATAATTGTGGTAAAATGGATCGATTTTCTCTGCTACCTTTATGTTTCATGATATACACATCGACCGTAGTTAGAAACGTATATCGAACCAATGGCAAGGTAAACTTTACATCCAGTGTGTCGCGGTTCGCATTACCTTAACGTTGTTATACGAAAGTAAAATCTTTCTTATAAAAAAAAAAGTGTATCATTTGATTATTTATAGTAAATATAGAATAAATTATATAATCATTATGGAAATTAAATGACAGTAAGTGTGATAATAAAATAATTTAAGCTAGATTTAAATACTAAATAAGTGAACAACGATATAATGAAACGGAAATGGAGTAAAAATTATATAAAATTGAAAAATATTTAAATTAAATTAGGTGCATTTGCACTTGTTTCCAATTAGATTTTTTTCAATTATTTTAAGAATTTAACTTATCATGGAAAAGTAAATTAAATAACTTCAAATTTTATTAGTAAAAAAAATTTTTCTAAAGTACACCAGGATATATGTAACTACGAAAAATATATGAAAGTGTAACCGATCGAAAAATGATGCATAAAACGTAAGTCTTTATTGATTAAATCATTGAAACGTTAAATTGGTCAAAGTCTGTCAGAAAAAGTCCAGGTGCAATTACCTCTACACTACTATTATATTAAACATGAAGTGGCGGAAGGGGTCTAACGATTTTTTTCCGGAGAAAACCTTTCTTATTATCAAAAATAACCTAGAATCACTTACAGGTAATTTAATATCAATCCTTATCACCATCACCATCTAATTCATTCATTTATTCATTAATTAAAATTAAAAATTGAAATCTATGCAGCTAAAAAACATTGTCGACGAATTAAATCAAAATCTGCAGCAGACACAGGAACGTGGCCTCCAAAAGTAAAGAAACTCTGTCCTTATAATGTTGAAGAACGACCAAAGACTGCAAACTTGGAAAAGCCAAGTGTCCTCGACCCCAGTTTAGTTAATAAATTAGATATGTCTTTACTAAGTAAGGAGTTATTGTGCGATTCTATGACGCGCATTCAGCTTGGTGGACGTAATGTAGGTGGGGAAGCATCATCGAATAATTATAGGAGTGTACCATCAAGCATTGTTGAGAGTAAAACATTTGTTCTTCGTCAGAAGCGTCAAAATTCCGAGCATTCAGTGACTTCTGAACAGTTTAGTAAAGAACCACAACTAGAACCCGTGATCATGAAAAAACAGTTACCGCTGAGCCCTTCGATTTCTAACGATCGTAATAAAAAAGTCGATATCAATAAAAAGCTCGATGACAATAATAATAAAAATCCTACTCACGGGATCAGTAAGCCAATCGGATCATTGTCAACTGTAAAAATATCAAAATCATTTAGAGCAGCTCTACCTGATGAAATTGAAGTTTTCACCAACTCCACTACTAAAATAGTGCCTGAACCGTGTAAAACTTGTGGTCGTCCTGATCAGCCGGAAAGATTTCACAGTCATCCCAAAAGTGCTCTACCTGTTAAAGGTTCTATTAAGGATGTGGTGAATCCTAATAAACCTAAAGATAAAGATTTAAAGAAGAATATACAGAAACCAGTTGCATTAAATTTCCGAAGTGAAAAGAATAAAAATAAAATAAAAGAATCGGAAATAGAAATAAATAAAAAAGCAGGAGCTATTGCTGATGAAGTCATTCAACTATCGAGACCGTCATCGACGAAAAAAGGTCCGCGAACTGTCATGTGTTACATTTGTAGTAGAGAATTTGGTACAGCTAGCTTCCCAATTCATGAGCCCCATTGCCTACAGGTAATATATGATAAATACTTTATTTTAAAAAATAATTTTTCTCCTAAGTTTAATATTATGTCGATAAAGGACAGCTGACAAAGATGACTCATAGATCAATATTATTATAATAGATATAATTGAACCTATAAATAGAAGAAAACCATATCTTTGATTTCCCTATCATATCAAATTTTTTTTTTTATTCAATTGCATTTGTCCTCTACTTTGCAAATGATTTATCAACTCACTTCGTATAAATGTACACATAATTTATACGTGAATGATTCAGTCATACAATCGATCCCGAGGATAATATAATACTAGCAATAACTGAAATAAATTTGAACACACCTCAAATTGTAAGACATTTATCTGCAGGAAGTACTAAATAAATTGATTAAATTTATTGTTAAATTTTTTTTATAAATCAAATTATTCACTTTCTTATTTGATAATGTTGTCTTGATTATTGTTTGTAGCAGTTTGTATACATTATTTGAAATGTGAATTAATTATTCATAGAAATGGGAACGTGAAAATAATTCTTTACCACCTTCCCAACGCCGGCCACCACCTCAGCGACCAACTGTGGATTTTGATGACTACCAATGGAATAATGCAGCTTGGGAATTGTCTCAAGTATGTGCAGTAGATTTTTACAGCCATGGAACTTATTTTGTATAATTATGAATAATCACTACTACGATATTTAAACACTATATTGATTCTTAGCAAGATTTTACGTAGCAAGTGACTGAGCTTTAACCAACTTTAATGGTAGTTTAAAATATTGTATACTTAAATTCCAGAAGTATTTAATATTGCATGTTTCAAAGTTCAACATTAATTCTGAATATCAAAAGAATTTCATCAATTTTTTTTAGTAAATTTTCTGTTGATAAAATAATGAAAGCTATTATCTCAATAAAAAGTATATAATTAATTTTGTTTTGTTAATAATGGTTTATTGGAGATTGATGTTTTGATAGTTTTATGGTCAAAGTCTAGACATTGACACAGTTCTACCTTTGATTGATTATAAAAACTATTGTCATGTGTGTTAGCTTATAATCAATATTACCTACTACAACTTCATAAAAAGTATATGCACCAATAAGATATTATAGATAATGTTTATCCATGTTATAGTTTGATATTTCGATGAAGAATACACGTACATATTAAATGTTATTGATCGTTTAACTTTTTTGTTGATGTTATTCTTCATCAACCTGTTAAGGTATGTAGCTATATCAAGGGTAGAAACTTTATTTGAAAAGAATTTTTGTTTTTTCAATTAACAAATTATTATGTGCATAGCCATTAGCATTTATAAGTTTATCAATTCCATTGTTATAAAACATAACAATATTGCATAATTACTATTTTACTTTCATCAACGATAGTTTATTATGATTGGCATTCTAGACTCAATTGCTTCCCTGCTGGAAGTGCGGAAGAACATTTTTACCAGATCGGTTACCTGTTCATCAAAAAAGCTGCAAGGCTACACCCAAGGTGATGAGCTCTTTTTAATAATAATTTATATAACTATCTACGATTAATGTTTATTTTTTACTTAGTTGGAATTTTTTTTATAGAATTCATCAGCTTTAGACAAATCAGACAGGTCTGAAAGAACAAGAAATACAACTAGCCGATTGAATTTATCGACAGTTTTTTGCCCAAGATGCGGACGAACTTTTACTGTGAAGAGCTTGGAAACACATGAAACGCAATGTTTAAAACGTTGGCAGGTGGATCAGAAAATAAAAGAAGAACAAAAAGAACCTATCATGAGTCCAAGGGTAAATATTAATTCAAGGATCTACTGGACATTATGACTAATACCTGGAATTTCGGTTGCCTTAATTTTTATTATTTTAGGATTCTCAAAAACGGATAGTGAATTGCTATATTTGCGGTCGAGAATATGGATCAGCAGGTATTGATATTCACGAACCACAATGTTTAAAAAAATGGAATGCAGAAAATCTAAAATTACCATTAAATCAACGAATGCCTGAACCTCAAAAACCGGAAATCGTTTTGATCGGTGAGTAGATTTATAGCTTTTTTTTGTATTTATTGATTACGAAATAAATAAATCAATGTATCATCAGGAAACATTTATTATTATAATGAGTTTAAAAATTGCTACTATTACATGCACATTAGCGCTCAATAAAGTATCGTTATTTTTAAAATATAAATAGTAGTATTTATCCTCAATTTTATGTTCAAAGTGTCTACGTATCGATTTCTTTTTTAAAAGAACTTAGCTCTTGAGCTAAAATAGTAAGTGTAAAAGTAGTAAGTTTGATGAACTTTAATGTTCAGTGCATGTTAGGAAATATTAAGTTTTAAGGGGAAAAAGAAAAAAATTTAAGTTTATTTTTCCTTCGATGCATATAAAAAATAAAAATATCAAACTCATTTATAATATTCTTTTACATAATTATAAAAGATGGAAAGTTATTTTCTATGAATTTCAACGTTGCACAATAACTATTACGATCATTATCATTAATTTTTTTTATTATTAATTCGAAGTAGTATAATGAATTTTTGAGATTTAATTGTCAGGATCATCGAAGAAATTTTATTACACAAATCTTTTGTTGAAAAGGTAAAATATATTTTTATTAGAATATTCTGATACATATATTTAATATAATAAATAAATATTCCAGCCACGGTCAAGAATAGTATTGAATCGATTAGTTCATTTGCATCATATACGTACATGTGTGAATAGTAAAATGCTTCCATTTGATATCTATCTTACCTAACATGAAAAGCAGAACGTTTCTATTTTCAGTAGAAAATTAACAACTTGATATGAGCTGTTATACTAAAACAAATCGTTGTATACATACATATCTATTCTCCAAATAGTTTAATTTATTTCGTATGACTAATACACAAATATATTATGTTCTTTAACGTCATAATTTTTTTTAGCTATATAGCAATTAACTTATACAACCATAATTTATTATTATCATTCAAAACTTTGAATTCATTGTTCCTAAAAATTAATTTCATCACTATTTCATCATTATTTTTACTACGTATTAAGCTGTCAACAGTATTCTAAAATATTTTCAAACTTCTTTAAAAAGATCTCTATATTTTGAAAATACTCCAAAAGTATTTCAAAATTATCTAGAGAAAATAAAATGAATGACTTTAATACATAATAGAATTGAAAGAGTTCAATGTGTGATAAATTTTATTATAACGACATGTGATAAATTTCAGAGACATCGACATCAGGAAGTCCTGTAATAGATTGGGCAGCAACTAGTGAAGCACGATGGAAATCCCATTTAGGTCAATTAGTACCATGTAAAAATTGCAAAAGGACATTTAATCCTGATCGTGTTGCTGTTCACGAACGTACTTGCAAAGGAACTCGTTAAAGGATATTGTTGTATCCTAAATAAGGGTGTTGTACAAAGATTGCGACTGAAATTAAATCAACTGTCTATTAACTTTGTATTGAATTAATCAGTTAGCAATACTAATTAGTTAAAAGCATTAAATAAAATTAACAATTATTAGCAAAAATTAGACGGTATTAATAAAGGAGCCTGTAATATTTGAACTTTCATACACTTTGGTTCCTCTTAGCACATAATATCAACTTTTAACTTATGCTATTGCTATACTGAAAGATGTTCTTAATATAATTATATTATACATACATATATATATATATATATTTTCTAATTTATATAATTACTAGATGAGTGAAAATTAATTTTTTATCATCGAAAGAATTAATAATAGCTTTCTGAGATTTATATATACAAGAACACCAAATGATTAATTACTTAGTAATTAACTATCCAAGTTTCTAATGAATATTTATGAATTTTATAGTAAACATAGACTGTAGTAGCAATTAAAAATTAAATAATTTGTAGAATATATAACAAAGTTGTATTGAATTTTATCAATACATATAATATAATATTTTAATAAGAACGAGATCATTGCAACATAATATTCTATTCTATATTAATTAATATTCATATTATTACGTATATTTTGTATTAAATATAAATTGAGAAAATTTTTTAATTATAATTTCTTTTTCTAGATCTTAATAATGAGGTAGATATAATGTTTAATAAATTACATTTGAGTATTGTAATATATGAAAAACAATTAATTATGTATTCAATCAGTCAGATAATTTTGTTTTTCATCTTTAAAACATCATTTTTTTTTGTTATTAAGTTTTATTAGTATTGATCAGTTTCGTTGTAATTCCATTTGAGTTGGAGTTATATTGAAGAATTAATCTGGGCGACTGTTTTAACACTTTCTCATTATTGTTAGGCCCTTCATTAATTAGTTTTACTAATACTGTTTCGTCAGTTGCGTGTAAAATTCCATTGAAAGTGCTGGATTTTCTTGTTTGACTTTGAGTGAAACGACTGCTGTAACCACGAGTTGCCAAAGTGAAACTTGTATGGGTAGCAGTGCTGCGATGCTGCATCGTTGAACCATCTCTGCAATTAATGCAGAGATTTAATTATTTTTGTACTATTTTTAACTTAGTATAAATATTGATTCGATTTGGAAAATGTTATAATATAAATCAAGATTACCTTTGGCGAAATTTACGGCATTTCTTTTGAGGCCATAAATGAAACGCTCCGTAAATTAATGGATTCACCAAGCTGTTGCTCATTCCAAAAAAGAAAATTCCATTTTGGAGTTCTTCACTTAACTGATGGGAAAAGTTTTGATGGAATCGTTATTTATTTGTAATGAATTAGTCGAAAAAGATTCTGCCGTTATATTTTATAAGAAAATTGAATGCAAAAAATAATTGAGTGTCTTACACGCTCATCTGGGTTGAGAAACATGAATATGATCATCATAGTATAATACGGAGTCCACCACAGCACAAAAGCTGCTACAATCACGATGCTTATACGTAGTGATTTGCTTTTAGCACGATGCATAAGTTTCCGGCGATTTGTATCACCACTTTCTTGGGAAATGTTTTTGTGGTTTGTCAACTGTAATTTGAATGACTTTTCACTGCCTGCAATTGAATAAACAAAAAACAAATTGCATACTTAGTTTTTTATTTTTTGTTAAGTAATGAAGATGAGAATATAATGATGATACTTACGTGAAATTGTGATAATTGTAGAAACATAAGTGACAATAAGGACAGTAAGGGGTAAAATGAACATCAAAATCAAACTGAGAGTTGTATAAAGTTGTTCTTGCCATGCTTCTGTATAAAATCCATGGGTGACACACTGTGAAAACTCCTCAACAAAAGGACCTCGTGCTACATGAAATATAATGAGCTGTAAATAAAATCATTTAGCTTTAAGAATTTATTAATAGACTTTTTTTTTTTATTGGAAATTATTTTTAAGAATGAAGATATTTTTTTATGTTATTTATCATTGAGCTAGACATGAGCTTCATGACACTTACGTATTGTTTTTTTTTAATTATTTTATTACTGTTATTATTGATATATTCCTGTTAGTGGTATCGAGTTCTGTAACTTTTATTAAAATTGATTGATCTTAATTCTATTCATCGATAATAATGTCTGTATATCAAATGAATTTTGATTTAAAATTGTAATTTATTGAGGCAATTATTTCAACTTAATCAGATATTCATTTATTTTTCTAACTAAATTGATATACATAGAGACTTTAACATGAAAAAGTCAGCAATAATGATCAGAATAAAGTTACTGAATGTAGCACTATTTGTTTATAAAAATTAGATAGTCATTTTTCTTGGGAAATTTTTAAAAATTATTTATATTAGGTTAAAATTCTGAAGTATATTAAAAATGATAATATTAAAAATTATGAATCGCTACATTATTTAAGAAGTAAATAAAAAACATGATTCCAATTATTAATTTGACATTGAAAGATTTATTGTAAGTATTGATAAGAAATTAAATAGTCTTCTCATTAAGATCGAATACCAAGTCAATATTATTTTATAAAATTACTGTGATTTAAATGTCAAATTCATTAAATCAGTTAATAATGGAAGCCAAGAAACCGAAAATTCTTGATCTAGCTCTCACAGCAGTAAAAGATTTAAAAGAAATTAATGGTGCAAGTCCTTTGGATATCTGTAATTACATATCATCCACTTACAACATTCCTAGAAATGTAGCCAAACGTCAGGTTGGTAAAAAATTTTTTATTATAATTATATAATGAATTTTTCTATAAAATGATTAATTTTTTTAAACAATTAGACTTTGTTAGCACTCAAAAGAGGAACTGCCCATGGAATATTAAAAGAATCTGGAGGTCGTTACAGTCTTTTAACAGATACAGAAAAAGAATGTGTGGAATTAACGAATCAAGAGCTTGGTTTATTGGATCTCGCATGCCGAAGACGTCGAATGATGCAGAGGAAAAGAAAAGCATTGAAAAAAGCAGAAAAAGTTCAGAAAAAAGGACGTATGAGAAAGTTATCAAAAGGACGAAGGTATAGATAAAGTACAAATTAAAAAATTGATAACAGACTTTATTTAAAAAATGGTATTTATTTATATTAACAAGTATTTAATAATTATTTATTTAATTTGAAATTGAATACCTGCAAAAAATGTAAAATCAAATTATAATAAAAAGAAAATAATTAAAATTAAAAGGTAATAAAAATTTTAAAGAGTTGGGGATGGATTAAAATGAACAAGGATAAAAAAATAAGGGTAAGACAGTAAACTGGAAAAAAAATTGTGTTTTAGGTGGAACGACAAATGTGATATAATTTAGTAAAATAAGTTACATAATAGTAGATTATTCTAATAATAATAATAATACTCTTTCACGACTTTCTACGTTAAAATAATTATTTGTTATGACTGAAGCTATTATTTCTACATTACTAAATTCCTACTCATCATATATAATTATATCGTTTAAAAAATAGTAGTACTTGTGAATAAAAGAGAAAATTTTTTTCAAGCTATGAAAAAATATTGCTATTTTTTGCTTTTAAATTTACAACCATTGATAAAAGATTATTTGCAAATTTAGCTCAATTGTTTAATCATAATTTTCAAGAAGTTTAAAAAAAAATAATAATTATTTTCAAATAGCTTTATTATTTATTAGTTCTGTCGAGTAAAGCAATAAAATACCACGTGTTCTGATAAAACAAAAAGCTTAGACAATTATGAAGTTCAATTGACCTTAAGAACTCAATTTACAAAGTTTTTAATTAGCAATAAAAAGTGATAATTTCGTATAAAATCACGTGATTTTGTGTATCAAACTTCTAATCTTGTACCTTCAAGACACACATACAGAATCATAAAAAGTTAAAGAGAGCTTTTCCTTTTTGTTTTTTTTGTTTTTTTTGTAATACTCAGTTTTACTTTCAGTACTTCAATTTATTTATTATAATTTTACTAAACCTTTGTTTATTATCCAAAATATTTACTGAACTATATAAATCAAATTTCTTATTAATAAGATATTGATTTATGATTAGACAAATACATTATTGATTAAAAATAAGTAAACTACATCGAAACTTGATGATTTTTGTATTGTTAATAACTTAACGATAAAAAAAACATTAAACCATTCATAGATGAAAATAACATAAAGTTAATACAATTGCAGTAGAAGAAGCAAAAGTCACAAGAGAGGACGAAGTCGTAGTATAAAAGGTGGAAGGAAGAGAAGTAAATCACGAAAAATAAAAGGAAAGAGTAAAAGTAAATCTCGAGGAAATAAAATACGTAGTTGTACGTGCCCATCATCTAGGCGAGAAAAGCATAAACATCGAAGCTCTTCTAGAAAAAGGCGAAGGGATAAAAAAATTAGAAAGAGTAGTAGAAGTAGAAAAAGGAGTAAAAGTGAAAGAAAACACCGTAGAAGTGAATCACGTGCAAGAAAAAAAGAAAAAAAAGAGAAAAGAAAAAGTTCAAAGCGGAGAGGGAAGAAAGGAAGAAGAGATTGTGATTGTCCTGCGAGTGTGAGAGATCGACCTGAAGGTTCTAAAGCTGAAGGAAATGTTAATAAAGAAAAACCGAAAGATAAACATAAAAAAGATGCAAAAAAGGACCTCAATGAAAAAGCTGAAGCCAAGAAAGAAAATTATTTTTATGAGCTTATTAAAATGAACTTTGGTAATCGGAATCAAACTAACTCTCCAAAATTGACTGCTACCAATAATTAGTTGGGTTCTAGGGTGGTTCATTAAAAGCGATGATATTCAATTGTCTGAAAAATTGTTTCAAAATTCTGAAAAATTAATTTAATATAATTGTTTGTGATTTTTATTGCTATTGTTATACATATTTTAATAAAAGTTTTATACTCAATTGTTCGGTAATTTATTACTGCTTTAATTTTCATTAGCCACTAGGTATTTTGTGCACGATGATTAGTTTTGAATTTTTTTAACATCTTTATGGAAATTTGTCAACTTTATCTCAAGGGAACAGAGTTACCAGACATATTGGGGTTTATTAAATTCCTTCAAGTGGCGTTTTAGCAACCACATGCTGACATTAAATTCAATAAACGTTCTATACTTGAGGGTATTTTTGAAAATAAGGGAAAAATATTAGAGCTTATTATACAAATGTATTGTGAGAGATAAGCTTTATTTTGAGTTTATCTAAACTACTGTTCTTATAGTTTAAAAAATTGTATGAAGGAAAATTTCAGATTCTAACAATGAATCTGGAGACTTAGTAAAGTTAATTGAACGATAATATAGTTTATAAAAATTAAGTCGAAATTTTTTCTGAAATGAAAATGCTGTATTTTGGGAAAAGGTATCTGATCCTTAAAAATTAGAACACAACAAGGAGCTTATTTTCTGCTTTTCAAGAATCTTTTATATATAAAATTTTGCCATTTTTTTATCATTTTCTTAAGTTTTAATATATTAATGAATGAATTTCTTTCAGGCTTCTTCATTTCATCTTTACTTTGTTAATTATTATAATCAATGGTTTTAAATATAATAAATTAATTTTTAATTGCGTTTTGATTAATTGAAATATAAAAAGTAATTTATTAAAAAATATGGTCAAAGTTTCTTTGAAACTTCAGATAATGTAAACAGAATAAATTGGAAAGCATGGAATATTTTAAAATTGTTACGTAAATGTGGGTTAGATGAATGAAATTATTAAGCTAAGGAAAACTTTGATGCACAATTTTAAAAGATTCAAGTAGATTGATCTTTTTGATAAGATATTTTAACATATTTGGAGTAAAGTTTTTTTCTTATCTATAGCAAAAATAAAATGTGATGAGGCACGTTATCAAAACAGATGACTTGATATGACTTGGTTTTGGTAAGAAAGAATGAAACTTTAACATCTTCAACTAATTCTCCAATAAGTTATAAGAATGATAAAATGGCATGATGTCAGGATTTGGAAGATAAAAAAGGAAAAATACTTATATCCTTATACTATCAAAAAATCTCCCATAACTTCACACATCTTTTCAGTTTTATTTCTTTGACAAATATCAAAAATATCATTGGCAAAATTTTTCCTCATATATTTGCTACAATAATGTGCTTGTTACAATATGACATTCTAACATTATTTTTTCTTATCTTACATTTAATATTAAACATTCGAGATGCTGCTTGATTGGTTTTGAATTGACAAATTGAGAAATGTCAATATGGTGAAACTAATTAGAGATAGAGGTATGATTAAACTTGATAACTAAACAAATATATTCTCATAAATGTACTGAGAATTTGCAAATATATTAATTGAATTTGATAGAACTTATACGTCATTGATTTACTAAAACATGATTACTTAAAATTAATTAATTTATGTATAGAGAAAATTTTATATTTATTTTTATAGAAATTTTTATGTCTATAAAAAAGGACTAATTGTTCCATTTAAAGAAAGCATTCGTTATCAAACAATCCTATACGAATTTTTATAAATAACAATGAATCTTACTTATCATTAATCAGATAAATAATACTGTCTGATATTTTATTCAAGACCATCAAAGGCTGTTTAAACTACTTATAGCAAGCAATTATTCTAAATACCAAAATTCTGTATACAGTTCAATGGTCCAATAAAATTAATATAACAACCTACGCACGAATTTAAGCAGCTCCTAAATGTTCCAAAGACAATTGTTATTAATATATCTGAAGTTCGTTCAATGCACTTAATATGAATATCATTTACTGGTAATAAAAGACTTTCGGCTTGTCAAATGTCAAAAGCAGAAGACATTGGAAACAAAAAAAAACTATTCTTTCAGATAAATACCATTTATGATTCAGAAAGAAGAAATTAAGCTTTGATAGATTTAATTATTCTAAAAGGAGAATAAATGTTTATATTAACATTTCTTATGATTATGAAATTTATTTATAACTGTAATATTTAGATGAACTATGAATTTATTGTAAATCTACCAAGAGAACAACAGAGTAATTAATATTAGAGCAGAGAAGTGACAATACGAGAAGCGACCCAAAGGATCCTATTATAGATACTTTACGAGGGGAAGATTCTAGACGAAATTTGCAAGTAAATCCAAGTATGAAAGATAAATTAGATAGTGGAAAATATGATTATTATAAAATAGCACAAGATGTAGATAGAATCTTGTTTGTAAACTATCAATTCTTTTAGATGATTGATTAGACTTTTCTCTATCCTTTATTGAAGTAAATCAATTCTTTATACTTTGCATTCATCAAGTAGTTATCAATTTATTCGATTTCAACTTTACTGGTCTGAACAACATTCAACTTGAATAAACATGCTTTTATTATTTCTCAAAATAAAAAAGTCTAGTTCTACTTCCATTCAATACTACAAAATTTTTCTAAACTATCTATATTTTTTCAGTATCATTTTTTTTAATATGAAAATATTCAAAAGTAATGAAATATTTGAATTTTAATTATACCCTATATTGATTTGAGTCTATAGGTCTAGAAAAGAAAGAAGATCATTCTAAGAGACAATCATTTTTATGAGATGCAATAAAGCTCAGTTAAGGTGAAAAAAGACGTCTAATAGACGTCAACACTTCATGTACAGTTTGATAAAAAACTTTAGTGATATCATAAATAACAATAAAAACCAAGGTGAATATTGAGTAATAGTTTTTTCTTGGTTTCAATCGTCAACTTTACTTTAAAGCTCTATTCTACATCAAGACAAATAAATGTCATTGGACTGCGGCGTGGTTCAGATTCAGACCTAGGTCAAAAGTCGTTGATATGATAATAATTTATAGCAATTAGATCAAGACCTCTAAAAATGAGGAAAAAAAACGACTGTATTAACAACTAAATCCTCAAGAATTATTTTCCACAATTTTATTTCACATATATTCATATGATAACAAGTTTCAGGTCAATGCACGAGGCAAGACTGCATCCTTTATATCAAATAAATTATAAAATTCAGGAAATCAGCATTCCATTATTCAGCACAGAGGATAAAATTGGTGTTTATTCTACTTTCACAAGCTATATTTGCTTTGTTTCGATAATAAATTAATTTTTTTAGGGTCCACAACAACCTTGATCTAATTTAGCAAAATTTACCTATCAGCAATATATATTATTTATTAGTTGATAGAAAAGTATTTTTCATTACAAGTGTTTTTATTTTTTTAATCTAGCATTGTTTTACAAATTATTTCTTTTTTCTATTTTGATTAAATTAAAATACCATTTAAATTTTAATCTTTACGGGTGACATTGATCTTCAGAATGCAAAAGTCCATTGCTTTAAAATTCGGACAATATTTCTATTCGTCATTCAGATATTTTAGTAATCAGAGAGTATTTTATTTAAATTAAGAAGAATCAGAATGCATAAACACAGCAACATCGCCGTGTATATAACTGGATGAACTAGTTTCACATAAAAAAAAGGTCAGAAAATTTTTCGATACTATAAAACTGCACATAATAAAAAAAATTAGTCTTTTATTTGTTGAAACAAAACGTCAGTTAGACTTATAATGACTGTTAAACATCGACCGCTATTTTAATAATTTTTTAACTTTTTTTCTCGAAATTAACATGAATTACTCTTCATTTGTTGCAAATATAAAAAAGTGATATCGGGTCATAGTCTGGATAATTAATGATAACACTGCAAGTTTATAAAGCCTAATGTACTCCTATATTTATTATGACTTATTTTATCTTAAAATCTTTGACGGTTACTAATCGGCTTTTTCAGCCTTTTCTTTAGCTGGTTTTTATTTAAATTCATCACCTTGAATAAGCCTAAATCATCAGATAAAAATAAATAGAAAATTCGTAAACCTGTTGAATTAGTTGTGTTCAATAAACTTACGAGAAATCCCATTGGAGTATTACAGAGCATTATTTAGAAAGTGAATTGTTTGTAAATGATGGAGTAAAAATTGAACTGTTGAAGGTTGATAAAGTAAATGCATAGTAGGCTCTAAAAGACTATTTTGAGAATTTGTGTAGATTGATGAGGATGTGTACTGAGGTCTGGATATGTGTAAATTTTGGATTCATCAGTGGAAAAGATTTTTGGGCGAGTGGATTGATTTGTTTCTACTTCAGTTTTTTTATTACAAAAGTAAAGTACACCTATATATCTTAAACATCTGGTGGAAATGAAAATGTAAATTTTATGAATCTTTTTCTAAAACCAAAAAATTAAATAACAAAATAAATAAATTTACCTGTTAATTTATTGTTAAACACGATCTTCCGATTCATCGATTAAGTTCAGGAATTGATTTTATATATTTTTCTTTCGATTTTCAAATAAAAAAATAATCCTATTATCCAACTACTTTCTAAAAAAACTTTAATGCAATTTACCAAATTCAGTAATTCTCAAAGTACTAATCAGTTATTAACCATAACGAATCTAATCGACGATAAAGGCTCAAATCTTATAACTACTTTCTTTAATTCCTTCGCTAATTACTCCTTATTATTACCCAGTTACAATAAGCATTAATAAAGAAACTAATCTCTTACTTGCGGTATGCTTAAGAGGCCAGAGACAATCCAAGTGATAAGTACAAGTTTAGTGCATCGTTCACTAGTATTGAGGCTCTTCATAGGATATCGAACAGCGACAAATCTATCGACTCCAATAAGTACCAGAACAAATGTACTGAGATAAAGACTGAACATTTGAAGAAACTTGAAAATCTTGCAGGTGACATTGCCCCATATCCATGCCACCGTATAACTCCAAAGTGCTTCTCCAGCGATGCAGAATATCGTCACAAGCAGGTCGGCAATAGAAAGGTGAAAAATAAGAGTATAAATGGCTGAATAACTCTGGTGTTTACGACGGTTTTTCGTTATTGACCAGATGGTCGTGGCATTTGCTACAAGGCTGAGTGCTGCCATAACACCTAGCACGATAGCTTTGATGAAAGCTCGGTGTGTCAAGCTTGGAGCATGTTCTAGATGAGTCAAGTTGAACATTGAACCATTAAGGATTTGATTGGACATGTTGGTATCGTTCTGAACCCCACTAATAATAATCCTCAGTAGTTGAGTTGTTACATCACTCGTTGAGTTTATCAGATGGAATGGTAAAATATTCATTATTAGAACTTGGTGCTCATTAATAAATCTAAACTAAAGCACCACATTTATCTTCAAGTTATTTAATATACGATCAATGAAATTCACTATATACATTGCTACTAATTCAATCTCCAGCTGATGCTCTTTGTTCTCTTCTATTTTCTTACTTGATGACGATGAATCTGAAAAACAAAAATTATTTATTTATTTATTAACTGCTTAATTCATAAATTTATTACTTTACTGCATAAATAAATAAATAAATAAATAAATTCAATTTGAATAAAAATATTTGGAAGAAAAACAATGATAAAGCTTTGATAGTCGAAGTAGGAATATCAACAATTTTATCTTCAATTGGTTAATTTATATCATTTACGTTGATGATAATAATTATTTACAGATGGTCTCATCTTTTAATAATAATTTCTTGATGCTTCTAACAATATAAATTGGTTAACTAATCGATAAATTTGAAAGATATTGATATTATTTAATTAAAGTAGGGTCAAAGAACTAGAAAATGATGTAGAATGTAGAATTGAAATATGTTTTTATTATTATTTATCGCAGATGTAAACCCGAGTCAACGTTTGATGCCAAATTTATACTGATGTACGTTCGCGTACGATTTTGCTAATTTCCGATGAGTTTGAAGGAATTGATTCACTATATTCATCAATCTTGATTCTTCTTTATCAGCCTTGCCCTAGTCTACTCTACTAAATTTTCCCAGACTATTTTGATAAGCGGCACGCGAAGAATTATAAGTTTGCCTCTAATTTGGAATTCATCAATGCAAAGTGATACATTCTCCACCAACGTATAAGAAAATCTGAAAGTTAATCGTCCACTTTTTTTATTAATGCTAATATATCACTGCATTGTTCTTGTTTATTTCTTCAAGAGTTTTATCAATGTGTTGATTATTTAAAGCTTTTATAATAATTATTATTGTTATTATTACATGAATTATTACTGTGAAATTACTCAGATATTGTCTCCGTTTTTGGTAAACTAAAATATTGCGTATAAGCTTTTGAAATATTTGAAACTTTTTCAAAGATCACTGAAGCTATTTTGAATAGAGGAAGTTTAGGCTGAATTTGGTGAAAGCTTAAAAGTTTAGACATTCATTGCTTTGACATTTTAATTATGTACATCATTTAGAGACATTTTATAACTTCTTAAGAAAACTTTTTTATTTAAGTATTATTAGCATAAATGAATTTATTTTTATTTGATTTAAAAATTTCTCAATTCCATAAGTCAATATTTTTTTTAACTTAAAAGTTTTATCATAACAATTTTTTATACTACTATTTATAATTCTTTGAACAAAATAAACAGGTAAAGAATAATTATATTATTATTACAATAAGTTTTAAGACAGGACATATAAATTTATGTAATATTTGTAAATGTGTTTTATGTTTTCATTAAAAGATGCATATTTATCTTCATTACATTGGTTGGACTTTAATTAAAAGTTCAACTAAACACATTCAAAATCCATTCAACATTAAAGTCATTCCGCAATTATCACACGTTGAGAATTTACTAAAGTTGAAAACACTTAAGAGCAAGAATTTGTAAATACTAATATTTTTCATCAATTGTTCTTCTAGGTATTTTACATAGTTTTATCATTTGAATATCTATTTCAGTTGCTACAAATTTATTGCTGATAATTCCACATATCTTAAAAGCTTCAACGTAATAAAAAAATTACTACGTATTTAGTAGCTATTTAAATAAACAAGAAAGACAAATGGTATAAAAAAAGTAAAAATTCATTTTTACAGACCTTTATTAAAATGCTGATATGATTTCAATGTGATAATCTAGAATTCATCTTAAAATTTCATTCTTCTCTCAATTTATGAATTTTTTTATCATGCTTTCACTAGAAGAACTTTGAATAACTGCTTCACCTTTACGTAATAATATTATGTTATAACTTATGTTAGAAAGTTTAAAACTTTCTCGAGTTAAATTAAAAACACAATTTGTAACAAAATTGGTCCTTTGATTGAAAAAAAAAACTCACTCAGTTAATATTTGTGAAAAAAAAAGTTTCAACTATAAAACACCCTTTTAATGTATTACAAGTAATTAAAATCAGAATGCATAGTGTGATTTATCGTAAGAACTTAAACAGACAATACGTGCACACAACTTTCGCGACGTGTAAACTGTCCAATGGGATTTACAATAATGACGGTTAAGCCAACGTGCTTCGATTCTCCCTCGGTTGTGCGCCTTCTCATCATGTCTGCTATATCACGTACCTTTTTCCCTACCAATTCTCCACTCGCCAGTTAAGTGTGAAACAGCAAAATGAGCTAAATACATTAATAGTTGTTCGATTACCTCATTTAAATTCGTTCATTCGACTCATTTATGATCATTTTACTTCTATCACTTACCCTTCAGTACTTGAATCATATTATTAATTAGCCATTGTCTTCACATCATCTTATCATACTATTAAATTAACATAACCTAACTGTTAATTAATTAGTTTTCGTAAACGTAATGACTTTCAGGCTTCTATAATCATGATATAATATTTATAATTAATGCAGATAAATAAAAATGGAAATAAAAGGCATTAAGAAGAAATAATATATGTAGTAGGTATTTATATAAATACCTCCTACGATACATATTTGATCAGTTCTAGGTCGATCAATTTTTATTTTACTTACCTTTTCTTAGTCTAATGTATTATAATAATAATTAGTTGATAAGTTTTTTATGTTTAATTGAAAATGGATTATCCTTTTTTTTTTTAGTTGGGAAAGATCCAATTTTTAACGAGTAACTAAAAAAAAAATTATGAATAATTTTAAACTTCAATCGAAGTTGAATGATAAATATATAATTTGAAAGTTAAGTAAAAAAGCTGTGATTTTTATAGAGTACGTGAGATGATTTTGAAAAATTCTACATAGTTTAATTTAAGTTCACAAAAGCAGAGATGTATCTTTGTTAACAAACTCTGAGCAGTCAGCACATTACTGTTACATCTATTAATCTTGACCTCGCATGTTAGAATAATTCCGTTGTAAACGTTTATCCTTTCTCCCATTGAATTTCATACAAATTTTTTTTAAAATAAAATGTATTTAAAATTCAGTTTTTTCAACTTTTTTTTCCGCATATTCTTATGTGTGTGAACAAGACCTGTTTTATGAATACTAGTAATGAAAGGTGATATTGACACAAATGAATTAATAAGTGGCTTTTGAATACATGAAGATATTTTTCGACGAAATTTTTCTTAGTAAGTAAAACAAATAATTAAAAAATTTCTATTTATTCTAAATTAATAACATAGAAAATAAAATGATCATATGCAACTTAATAGAATGTTTGTCCTCTCAACAGTAAATATTGCAGCAGTATAACCCAACATTGATAATTCATCCATTTTGTTTGGAAACAGATTTGTTTTTACATGTATTTTTAAATTTGTTTGTTTTCATTTTGGCGCCAAATCTTGTATAAATAAAGTAGAATTCTTTCTAACGTTCGATAAAAAAACACATTCCTGTAGTCGATAAAGCTCATAAGATGGCGCGAATCTAGACATTCCTCTAGATGGCGCCAAAGAATACTGTTTTACCTATGTACCAACTAAAAATTCCTAGCGAGACACGAACAAGCTACTTTTGGGCTTCTAGGTAAGACAGTATTCTTTGATGACGTTAAATGTTAATGTCTGTCTCTTTGCAAGTGTCGCTATCTCGTTTACTTGTTGTTCAACAGATTGTTGTCGTGGTCTTCAATTGCATTCAGTTGTACCAAATGTATTGTGGTGATAGGAGTGTACTGTTCAGTATGATGAAAAACTGTGGTCAGTTATCATAATTTTGTCTAGTACGCGCGAGTCTTTAAACAATTGTTAACATATTTATTCAAGTTAAATTGTAAATTGTAATTGAAATTAATTCAAGTGATAGTGTGTGAATGAAACAACTGGATTTACTGTTGGATTAATATACAGATACAAGTAAAAATGTGAGTATATCGTACGATTTACTCCGTAACGGGATTTAACGAAGCATAAGATTCTCTTTACTCCGCTCTCTCGCTTTCTCTCTCTCTCTCTCTCTCTCTCTCTCTCTCTCTCTCTCTATTCAGCTTATAGACATTTTTAAACTTGTCAAACAGGTTTTGTTCATTGTATTGAATCGTCGTAAATCTTTGTACAAGTTGATCGACATGGATTTCTCATTTTTACGATGCCAAATTCCTCAATAATTTGTACGAGGTTTCTCGGTAAGCAAAACTAATGTATATGTATGGAGTAAATTGGTATTTCTCTTCTTTTATTTGCTTTTGTTTATTTGAAGATAAACTTGAATTCTTTTTTCTTTTTATTTGACTGAGATATGAGTTGAAAATATTTTCTTCAATTTCATTTGTTTTAAGATCAAACTAACAAAAGGATAACAATTATTTAATGTATAAAGGCAAGCTTATTGTATCCTCTTTAGCGTAAAGTAGATTGTCCTCGATCTTTATGCGTGGTCATCAGTCCCAAACATTCTCTTTGTATAAATTTTTTACTTGGTTGTGAAAAGTCTCAAGTCATTGCTGTTTTGTTTTTATTATTGCCGTCATAATTGCAAATATTAATAATTTTTATTTTATTATATTGATTTCTAGTTTTTGTCAATAATTATTAATCAGACCCTGAGAAAGCTCACTCTTATTCTTGATAGGAGAGTTGACAGGAAGCCGTGTAATAAAATGATCAAGTCAGCATCATGATATAGAGTACCCAGAATAATGTGATGGTACCCTAGCTAGTGTTGATTCTCTCGACTCGTACAGTTTGGTACGGTTTACTTCTATGATATATTACTATACATATATAACACATTTAACTGTGCTGACAGAGCAGTAGGATGAGAATAAGAGTGGGAATTTTCTGACACACGGGTGTTATGTCATTAATGTTTCGCATCAATTGTAATAGCGTGTAGACTCGCATCAGTTTTTTACTCCAAAACAAATACTAATATTTGGACAAATTTTAGTTGCTCTTGAAGCATACTGCTGAATCATTTCAATAATTTTTAAATTATTATAATAATTTTTTAAAATATTCATTTCATCATATTTGTTTTTTCAATAATTAAATTGTCAACTCTTTTTTTTTGGAGTCATGATGTTGGGTGATAGGTACATCCTTGAGGAATGTTTAATCGAGACGTGCCTTCTCTGACAGGTATAAAGAATACTATCAGTGTTAAATAATAAGTATTTAAAACTGTAAATACTTCTTAATGCTTAGTAGTCTTAAATTTGTACTCACAACTTACTTAAACGTGCAAATATTTATTGATGCAAAATGAAAATGGAAAAATCATCATGTCCTTGTTGTGCTGCAGTAAATCAAGAAAAAAAATATGTAATATAAATACTGGAAGAAAAAAATGCGATAAGACTTAAAACCTTTAATATATTTTATTCTTTATTTTAAATATTTGTGAAACTCTTTATGAAGTGAAAAAATTGATTGCTTTCTTAGAAATTATTATCATCAATTCAATTGTCATTGAAAAAAAATATTTTTTTTATTTAATTATTTTATGTGATTCATAAACTCATATCCAATCTCAGTTATTTTTTTTTCTTTTAAGATAAGTAATAAAAAATGTTTATCGTTTACTAATAGAAGTTCTATGGTCCACATGTCACAGCGGAAATGATTCACTCAACCATTCATTATTTGCGTTTGCAAGTTGTTATAAGTGATACAAGATGAAAATTATTCACTTTTCATTTCCACTATCGTTGATGGAAATTTTTTTTTTTTTTCAATTTCATTTCTATAAGTGCTAACTCTTTTGTTAGGACTTTTGACTAAATTCATTATGATTATTAAATATTGTAACGTTTTAAATTCTTCTTAATTAATTAATACTACTTACTTAATTCAAACGTCAATAACATTCATCTGGACACGATGTTTGTATGAAGATGTTGTTCAGATTTCATTTATTTGTTTTCATTAACAGGAATAAAAATGATTTATGTAATCAATTTAAAAAGGGTTTATGTAAAGAGTAATAAAATTTTATAAGTGTATTATTAATGCTTAGTATACGTTTTACAATATGTCATTCAAATATAATTTATACAGCTTACAAAGTGGACTTTAGTTACCCGCATTAGTTTTTTTTTCATTAAAACGTCTAAATAGAACAAAGTAATGACAAAAATTTTTTAATAAAAATTTGATTTATTTTTATTTTCTGATAGTTTAAACAATTATACAATTGTCAAGAATTTTCTTAATTATTCCAAACAATTATTGTATACAAAGTAACAGCTTTTTTATTTTTTAAAAATCAATTTTAAATGAAGTTAGTAAATTTGCTGATAACGCCAATGAACTCGTTTATTATTGAAGCTTCTTCTAGAGTTTGTGGTTGTTATGAAAAGTGATTGAGGTCAGATAACATAAGATAGCTCATGAATATGAGATAATTTATTAGTTAGTATGAGTATGAAAGATGAACAATCAACTGCATACGAAGAAAATATAATGGTATTATTGATGACGTTGATTCTGAGTAGAGCATAAAGAGAAGAAATTGAAATAGCGAATATTTATTTTTCGTTGAAAGTGTTGATAATAAACTCAAATCAAAATAACTATTATTTAATTGACTATTTCGATCATATAAAGTTAGTCATTAAATTAATTAATTAAACGTAACAATTTGCTTGTTTTTTTCTCTATTTTTCCTTTTCTAGCGAATAAATGATGTAGAACAAAGCAAAGTATTTCCATGGAAATTAAAATTATACTCTGCTGAAAATAAACTTTGAAGTTATTGATAGAACGAAACTACTATTTTTCTCATAGTTTAGATAAGTTTGACTTGGCAACAATAATAATTATTCATTTTTTTTTCAATTGTTTTATGATCTGGAAAATTATGTAACAGATGCATTTGTTTATGAAAAATTATATGATTATTATTTTTCTAACCATAAACTACTGGGCTAAATTTCCAACTATCGTACTAAGTTATAAATTTTACTTTAGAAAACAATTTTCTTTTAATATACACACAAGCCTTGGTCATTATGTGTAAATCATATTATTGATAAATAAGAAATTGTGATATAAAAAAAATATCTTTCCAATGTCTATAAGTAAATTTAATATGACTTAATATTTCATTTGTTGTGATTTGAAGCATTAAAAAAATTTATACACTCATTTAGTAAGATTAATATTCCTTACATCGATTTCTTTAATATAAATTACTAGTAACTTGATAATTACATTTACTAGATTGACAATTACAAAGTAAACTTAATAATTTAGTCCAACTCATTTCCTTATTCATGATAGACTACAGATGTAGGCTTGGTGATGACTAAGTTTACGTAGAAAAAAATATGCAACTGAACCCTAGTGATTATTAATATATACACTTAAGAATTTAATTGCCTTTACATTCGAGGTTACAATAGTAATATGTAGAATCATACTTCCGTGTATGAACCAACGATCCCTCTCTACTTTTCGTCCGGCCTCATTCGTCTGATTAGACATAGGTTCCAGGAATGGTGACAACCTAGACCACCAAATCAAATCACTTGTGGCTTGAGTTAATTAAAAAACTTTGTCATCTGAAATAACAACCTGTCATGCTGACTTTTATCAGTTCATTTTTCGTTACTCAATTGGCTGAATAGTTTAAATAACTTTTATTCATATTAAACTTCAATAAGATCATATTTTTAAACAGAGTTTATTTGTAACATTTTTTCTTATTTCTTAGATTCATATATATATTCAAGTATTAATGCACGTATAACTTACATCAATCTGTATGAGATTACTACATGCCTATGGTATTCAAACAAGTGCAGTGCCTATTTCAAGTATTTATAAACACACATGGATGTGAAGCACACATTTGTAAAATGAAGCTTAGCATAAACCTAATATATGCATCTACATATACACTCTTGACTGCAATTTCTTCAGCTTCAGCACGAATATGCCTAGAATGAGTCTCATACACAACTGGAATGCACCAAAATAGTACAATCGATAGTTTCATTTTATAAAGGCTAGAAAACTCTTGCCCAAATATTTGGCACAAAAGCCATTCTATTTTGTATTTAATTTATTGAATATTAAAATCAATTTCAAAATACTAAAAAGTATATACATAGTATACTTGTTGAGATTTTGTAGAAATAACATCATATCAGAGTAAAATATTTCATAGAGGCATGTATTTATTAAAGATAACAGATTGCTGTTATCAAATGTTCAATTTTTAACTTCCCAGTGGGAATTAATATTAAACAAAAAAAATTTAACATGAATATTCAAGTTATTCATGTTGATTCTTCTTGTTTTTTTAATTCGTTATTGCATAATCTGTATATTAGGAATGACTATTAGAATAACAGTTAATTTGATGATAATTTTAAAATTAATATTTAATATAATAAAAAATTATTCTACTTTCTAAAAGTAATAATGTCAATTCATTTCAATAGATTTCATGCTTTAACAACTCGTATCATAGATAAAAAAAACTTCCGGATTCCTATTGTTTTGTAAGAGACAAAGGAAATGCATAAATAACTCAGAAAGAAAAAAGAAAAAAGAGAAAAGTTTGATAAGAGAATCTTATCATTTGTAACAGAAGTTTCAAGCTTCAATAGTATAAAATTGATTTGATAAATAAAAGTAAATTAAAGTTGGCTAACGGTTAGATAAAAATCAAATTAGTTTTATGAACTTAAATTTTGAACTTGTTAAGTTATGAGAAACCAACTTACAAATACATATGTGTAATCAAAAGTTTGAGCAAAAATGAGTCGTAAGCACATGATTAAATAATAAATTGCTTCAAGTTTCATTTGAAAGTTTGTTAAATGTTGTATCATTATCATTACACTCTGGATTATTGATATTATTATCGGGGATGTACTCGTTTTATATCCTGTATATATATATATATATGTATGTATGTATGTATATATATAAATAGTAAAGCCTTGTTTATGTGACTATATTGTATTTCGACACATGTGACCGGTCTGTTATGCCCTTCCCACTATTTACACATAATATGACAAGTATTTTCTCATCCGCGTTTGTAGTTCAAATTCGATTTATCTATATAATAGCAGCTGGAATGTATTTGAAGATGACAAAAATATTTTAAAGTCTATTCTACTTTGCTTTATAGTATCATTTATTATTTTTCTATACTCTGAAGCATAAATATTTTTATGAAAATAAATTTTAGAGCTAGAAAAATATGAATGGGTGTGGAAGAAGTATCAGTAAAATTTAATAAAAAGTTAATAGAAACATTATTTAAAAAATTGAATTAATTATTATTCTAAACGAATGACTTGATATATTAAATGGATTTTACTTCGAAATTAAGGAATGACTGTAGATTATTTCAGAGTTTCCAATTCTAAATAATACAACTGACTTCTGGGTTTATAAACAATATTCATCAGTATTGCAGTTGTATTTTCATTGATTTCTATCATTCATTCCCAGTTAGAACCTCTTTCACTTTATAATGAAAAATTTGAAAATAATTCTTAACAGAATAAAAAAAATATTATTTATATTTTATATAAATAAACAAATACTTTATAAATAAAAGAATAAAATATTCCATAAAATAATTTTTATGGAATATTTAGGTTTTAAATTCATTATTAAGAAAGGTTTTTTGATAAAACTGGAACCAGTTCATTTTTAGAGTACAAAAATATTAATTTTTTTTAATAATATTCCACACTCTAGAAAAAAAAGTATGCAAAGTATTTAAAGCTGTAAAATATTCTTTTTAATAATTCAATTAAATGTGTATAAATATGTATGATGTATAACTAATTATATTATTTTATTTTACAAACTTTTCTTGTAGCTCGTATATATCTGTAATTTTTTTCCATTACATTTCAACCCAGTCGTCTGTATTTGTTGCTAACGAAGCTAAAAACAACTGAACATGAAAAAGTAAAAATAATGAGTCTGCCAGGCGTTCTGATGTTACATTTCAATTTTTAAAAATTCTCTCATGTTTTTGCGTAAAAAGTCTGATTAGAACTCGACTTAGATTAAAAACGCATCAGTAATCTTTCAAGTTCTTCTATGTAAAGGATTTTTTTCGCCTTTTTAATTAAGTCTACATGGGGTGCAAGTTAAACAATGAATATAAAGAGGGGTGATTTTCAATCCCTTTCACATGAGCATTATGATTAAAAATTATTTACACTTTTTTGATGAGTAAAAATTAATTTTCAACTGTCAGAAATATTTTTTAATTATTTCTTTTATTTCAAAAATGCTGGAAAACAGTTACAAACCTTTTTTTTATCAACTTCTTTTTAAATTCTATCAATAATAGTTTTTATTAAGGCAAATAAATGATTCTCAATTGATAAAAGATTTTTTTTTCACATATAATTATTAAGTGGAAAATTTTTAGAAAGTATTCAATAAGAAGTTTCTTTAATTGTTGATTTAATGTTCATATCTTATCACCTTAAAAGTCTCAATGAGCTCATTTACCTAAAAACAAGTTCAGCATACCTTCCAGGTTTTAAAGTATCAACATCCACTTCATCATAAAACCACATCCCACGCCTGCCTTTTGATAATCAAACAACCTAAAAGACCGTAATTTTATATTCCCAATCATTAATATGTCCTTGACCTCATCGTTGAAAATTTTGAACTCACTGATTATTACTGCGTAAAAAAACTGATACCCTAAAGTATTCTAATGTTCAATAAAAGTGATGATGATACGTCATATTTTCGAATATATAAGTTCTTATGAGTGTTGTGAATCATTATAAAAACGCAAGTGTATTTGATGATAACATGAGAGTGATTCAATTTAAATTTAATACACCAAATGTGACTATAAATAATAAGTTTGATAGTGGATAATGATCTTCATATTAGAAGTGATTGCATCGTTTAATAATAGATTAAGGTCGTCGAAAACATTTTTTGTTGATCGTTGAAATTGAGAACTCAACAATGCAAAAATTATATAATAATAATAATAATAATAATAATAATAATAATAATAATAATAATAATAATAATAATAATAATAATGTAATATGAAGAAAATTAATAAGCTTACTTTAACGAAATCAAATACTTTTGAAATTCAATATTTATTAATCAACAAATTTTTTATAGTTGTTAAGTAATTTTTCAAGACTTATAATTCAGAAGAATGTGTTAATAATTTTTATGCTTCAATTTTTCTGTTTAGATTACTTGAACAAATGTTCCTTATCGCCCACTGATGGATTTCATGGCAAAAAATAATTTACGTTCAATTTTATGGATTGGAGCCGTCTGGTACGGTCTTCAAAGATGCAAAGGTTGTGAAATTACTCAAAAGACTGCATAAAAAATTTGACGAAGCGTAAACGTAATCAGAGAGGGTGTCTAAGAACAGTCAGACAAACAGGAAGAATTTGTTAACTCCAACATGGAGTCGAGAGTGTTTTTGTTTACTCTGACAATAGTTACTTTTGCTTTTGCTACTTCAGCAATATTAGATGGACCTAACGTCTGCGTTCGTCAAGAAACGTAAGTACTTTTTGCATTGTGTTAAAAATAACATAATTATTATTGCACAAAAACAGCTTGTATATATACGATAGTTTTCCAATTTAAAAAATTCTAGTTCTACTAGATTTTATAAAATTGCTTTTATTGAAAAAAAATCTAATTATAATTTAATATATAGGTATACTGTAACAGTAAACATATCTGTACAAAAACCTTATAAGGTGAGAGAGCTCAAATGGTGTCTTGCAGTTCCACCAAGATGTTCCAGCTATCGTATGGAATTCAAAACAGTTTATGAAACACAGGTTTGTATTGTAGTTGAAAATAATTTATTATTCTAACAAAATAGTAACCGAATAAATTGCTTTCAGACTATAACAAAGCAAAGACCCGTTGATGAGTGTTGTAAAGGCTATGGAGAAACGTCGTCTGGCGATCGATGTGTTCCTATTTGTGCTCAAGATTGTAAACATGGTCTTTGTGTTGCTCCAGATGTTTGTAATTGCGAAACGGGCTATGGTGGGCCTGCTTGTGATATCAGTATGTATTTTGTTTGAGTTACTTTCTCGGAAATGGATGTAGAATGAGATAGAGTATCATGTTATCTGATATCATGAATATTTTAGAATGTCCACTTGGTAAATGGGGTCGAGACTGTAGTAAAGATTGCACGTGTATGAATGGCGCAAACTGCGATCCTTTTAACGGCAAATGCAGGTGTACAAAAGGATGGACTGGAGAAAATTGTGATGAAATATGCCCACCACATCATTATGGACAGGATTGTGGGGAAGAATGTAGATGCAAAAATGGTGGAAGCTGTCATCATATATCGGGAGAATGCCATTGTGCTCCTGGATATACTGGACCATTGTAAGTTTTTAATATTGTATAAGGTAGTACTTAAAATTTTATGCTTAAATTAAAATCACATTAGATGTGATGATTTGTGTCCTGAAGGAACGCACGGCGATGAATGCAAAACTCAATGTAAATGTCAAAACGGCGGTAATTGCGAACCAACGACCGGAAAATGTTTCTGTACTCCTGGTTGGATTGTACGTCACTGAAATTTTTCATGTTTAACTGATTTATTTAAAGACTTAGAATGTAAAAAATATCAAATAACAAAATATAAACGTTTTTTATTCCTATTACAGGGCGAAGTATGTGGAAACAGATGTCAAGATGGTTATTGGGGTAAAAACTGTGAACAAGAGTGTATATGTTATAACGGTGCTTCGTGCGATCACGTAACTGGCAAATGTATATGTAAACCAGGCTACTACGGAAATGAGGTGATTGATCAAGTCTCTTGCGTGCTTTTAATAACATTGTTACCGAGCTTACTCCGCTAATAGTTAATTAGTAGTTATTATGTTTTTCAAATTATATATTTCATATATTGCAATCAGTTAATTAACATTTCCTTCTTATATTACAGTGTCTTTATAGATGTCCCGATGGCAAATTTGGATTTAACTGTGAGAATAATTGTACTTGCAAAAATGGTGCTGCTTGTTCACCTAATAACGGCACATGTATCTGTAAACCCGGTTGGACAGGAGAACAATGTGAATTGAGAGCTTGTCCTGATAGTGTATGGGGATCAAATTGTCAAAAGGTATGTAATTATATTGACTTGTTATTTAACAGATTTTTGAAATTCATTATTCATTAGTTAATTATAAAAATTTTTATTATTCAAGGTTTGTGAGTGTGATAAAGCAAATACTGAACTTTGTCATCCGTGGACTGGTGATTGTGTTTGCAAAATCGGTTGGGATGGCGCAACTTGTTCAAGACCATGTCCCCTTTACTTTTATGGAAAAGATTGTGCTAATCGGTGCAACTGTAAAAATAATGCACAATGTTCTCCAATAAATGGTACTTGTATATGTGCTCCAGGATTCCGAGGAAAAGATTGCAGTGAAGTTTGTCCAAGAAATACTTTTGGAGAAGACTGTGCTCAAAAGTGCTCCTGTAAACATGGAGCATCTTGTTCACCGGAAACAGGACGGTGTAACTGTACTGAAGGTATAATGCTCAAATTTTATTATTCATAATAAGGAGAGAGAGAAAGTAATTTTTAAATAATTTTTAAAACTCTGTTAATTACTTACTTAATCTTTTTAAACTGTATTTTGGAAATGGTAAGTTGGTATTTAATTCTAACGAAAATTAAAAAGTCATACTCAGATAATTATTGTAATCAATAATGAATATATAATAGTAATAAAAGTATCATTACATTGTTTTAAATCATTTAATGAACAATTTTATTAGGATGGGAAGGTGTTCTCTGTGATCGTCCATGTACAGATGGAACTTTTGGCAAAGATTGTGTAGACAAATGTCAATGTCTTAATAACGCAGCCTGTAATCCACAAAATGGTAATTTATTCTAATTGTTTCCTTTATCATGGGTTTCTGTTTAAAGTATTTTATGAAATATTAATTAATTTGAGAAATTTTTTAAAAAATTTTATACGACTTTAATATTTTATTTATTTACTATCAAAGCTTTTCAACTTCAATGCTTAATGAAATTTTACTCTTTATTATTCAAAAATTTTTTCAATCTTCCTTGCTCTACATTCTTAATAAAACTGAGATTAAAAGTGGTATTACAAGTAGTTAAGTATTTACGTTGAAATGGTTTCTTGTCAATTAATTGATTTGACCTTTTCGTTCGCTGCATTTTTATTCACACTACGCAACACGATGATTTTACATGACGTATATACAGGCACATGCACGTGTGGGGCTGGCTACATTGGGGAATTTTGTCAGCGACGATGTTCACGTGGACTTTTTGGTCATGATTGTACACAAGTTTGTGATTGCCAGGATGAAAATACTATTGATTGTGATCCATCTACTGGAAAATGTATTTGTAAGCCAGAATGGCGAGGTTTGTTTTAAAACATTACTGATGCATGCTTAAATGTTATTAACCACAAGAAAATAGTTAAAAATAGAAAATAAATAAACAGGAATCAGATGCGAAACTCGATGTCCAGCGGGTTCTTATGGAGAAAACTGTGACATTAAATGTAGCTGCATGAACAATAGTTCATGTGATCCTCAAACTGGTGAATGTATTTGCGGAAGAGGATGGGAAGGTCCAGATTGTTCTCAACCTTGCAAACATGGATGGTACGGTGTTAAGTGCAAAGAAAAATGTCCCATAAAAACTTATGGTAAGAATATAGAATATTTTACAGATATCGTATCAATCTAGTATAATTATTAATAAAACATGGCTTTAGCGATTGCTTACTCACTGTTTTAATTGTATAACAGTACTAAAAATAATAAAATAATATTTTTATATCGTTTCAAAGCCCAAAAACAATGTAATGATGAAAATGAAGGTGAAATGGCTATGCATTATCTTGATATTTATAGTAAAAATGTTTTTTATTTCAACAAAAATTCAAACTCTCTCTCTCTCCTCGTGCTGCTTTATGTGCAAAATCATACAAATTAGAAAGTGAATATTTATTGGCTGGTTTATTTTCATTAGGAAATATGACATGTGATCATGTAACTGGTCAATACGTCTGTCGACCTGGATACCTTGGTCTTACTTGTGAACATTCTTGTCCTCCTGATCGTTGGGGTTTAAATTGTATGAACCACTGTGATTGTAAGAATGATGGTGAGTGTCATCATGTTACCGGAGCTTGTCAATGCCGGCCAGGATGGCAAGGTGATCGATGTCAAACTCCTTGTCCTCAAGGAACTTTTGGAGTTAATTGCACTCAACATTGCAAATGTCAGAATGGTGGAAAGTGCAGAGCTAACGATGGAGTCTGTAGATGTGCTCCTGGATGGACTGGAGCTAGATGCACTGAAAGTATGTTTTTAAAATGAGAGAATAATTTATCGTTATCAATATAATTAATTCAATAAATTTTTCTCAGTTTGTCCAGAAGGATATTACGGTGACCACTGCATGGAGCCCTGTGAGTGTAAGAATGACAACTTTTTATGTCATCCTGCAGAAGGATGTATTTGTAGACATGGATACGCTGGAGTAAATTGTGAGGACGAAATTTTATCTCGAAATGTTCAAGAAAAAGCTGAGTCAGGCTATGGAAGTGTAATTGCTGGAATCTTTGCGGCAATAATTGTAATAGCTGTTACCTTAGCAGCTTGGATGTATCATCGTAAACGAGTAGCTAATTTGAAAATGGAAATAGCCCAAGTACAATACATAGCAGAACCTGTGACACCCCCAGATCGTAATCACTTTGATAATCCAGTGTATTCATACAACGGCTCGATTAGAACTGATGATGGAACAACCAGACTCCTCAATAATAGTTTAATCAGAAATAATCTGGGCATGAAAAATATAAACAATCATTTACAAAAAACTAAACTAGGTATCGGTGGTTTGGACGACGACGACGATGATTGTCGTGAAGCTCACAGCTTGCAATATGATCATTCAGCGTCTTTAAAGAATAAAGATGCTGATATAAGTAATCCCAATATCAATGTTTATCATAGCATTGATGAAATGGATAGTAAAAAGGGGGAACATCTATATGATGAAATCAAGCAAAATAATCCAGACTTAGAATATGATCATCTAGAATATACTCGACCTTTAAGTGCATGGAAACCTCATTACCAGCGAATGGCCAATGGCTTTGGTTTGAGTAAAGATGGTAGTGGTTCAAGTAAAGCCAGTCAAAATGATCCGGAACTTGGAGGACAGTGAATCTCTAACAATAAGGAAGCACCATGAAAGAAATTACTTGAAATGTTGAGAGAAACTTAATATGTGAAATAATTAAGTACTTGTGTATTATTCATTGACAAACAATTTTTATCTATATTATGTAATTAAACATGACTATAAGCTCTCGATAGATCAATTATTTATATTCATGTTTAAGCTTCCTGTGCAGTGTATCTTTAAAATCATTTGTAAATATGTGACTAGCAAATAATGTCAAATATTGATTGACTTCTACAAATGACATTAATATAGACTAGACTATTGTGTTTACAATCATTACAAAAAACTCACAAGAAGACTAGTCTAGATTTAAATTCTATTAATTTGTAATATTATATATACATACTCAATTTTGAGGTTTTTTTGTCACATATAGTATGATATATAACGAATATATAATATTAATTTTTTTTTTAATCTTTACAATACTATACCATTTTATTTACAATGTAAATGTATCAATTTTTTATTTTATTTATAATAAGTTAAATTTCTAATATATTATTTCTGTGATAAGTTAACTGTACAGTTTTTCATGAATTGAAAATAATTCATTAAAAAATAAAAATTAAAATTAATAAAATAAAACGAAGAAACAGAAAAAAATATGAGAGAATAAATTATTTTGTAGTTTATATATTTAAAGAACAAAAATAAACATAGCGAAAAATAAAACGATCCATTATTTGTATCGTGAAAAAAATTTTACATAAATCTAATTAATTTATTGTCTTAATAACCGCTGAAAATCCTATATTTTCAGATTTTTTAGAATTAAAAGTGCTAATAAATTTTACAATAAGACTATTTTTGCTGGACTGAATATCTGAGGGGAATGAAGACCCTACCAATTGTTTAAGAATGGGTGAATCCTCTTTATCTCCATCACGAATTTCCAAGTAGTCATTCTCCTTTTCTTTATTGTCATACGCTAATTTGAATGATTCAAATTTGATAATTATATTGTGTCCTTCCGATACTGATAACCGCCAAATACACTTCTTTTTTTCCGGGTAGTTTTGAGGATAGTTAGGAGATTCAAGGTAACCGACTGCATTATTTTGTATTGATATTTCTCCACCGCAAACCGTTGTGTAATTAGCCGTAAAGCCATTATATTTATTTTCTTTGCTAGTTCTTTTATATCTTATCAGCATACGATTTTTCGTTGAAGTAATGGGCTTTATACTTTTTATGTTATCACAAAAGCGACCTTAAAGAAAAATTTCTTGGGTAAACAAAAAAAATGGATGAATTTTCAATGAATGTATTTAAAATATTCACCTAGAACTGAGCTTTGAACAGAATATCCATCAATAACTTCTAAATAATCATTTTTACACTGATTATTTTTGTATATGTTAAGTGAGTTGATACTAAGAATAATTGTTTCTCCATGAGCAACACTTATTCTCCACTCACAATATTCCGGCAAAACGACTTGATTTAAATTTTCATAAATTGGGGATTCAAAGGAGCCGTTATTTGCCTGAAAAGTACCTCCACATTCTGCAAAAGTAACATAAAAAATTTATCAAGTCATACTTAAATGATGCAATGAAATTTTTTTGAGAAAAGATTAAAAATTTGGCTCATTACTTGGACAATTGTAGAGAGTATTTGCTTGAATTATATCACCCTTACTCAGAGCTATTCTTTGACCAAGTTCAGCCGGATTTATCCCTAATTCTTGCCGGGGTAAGATAGTATCTAATTTGTCATCCTTGGAGTATGTATTCGATGCATAATGCATGATGGAATCAAAATCATAAGGTTGGGTAAGAGGAGCTATTTTTTTTTGGTTTAGCACACCAAAGTTGTGTAAAAAATCTGTTAAAGTATTGAAAAAACATATAAATATAAATGGTACTTACATAAACATAAAATGTTTGATCAAATTAGAATATAATTTGAGTTTTTTGTATTAGTTTATATAATTTTGAAAAAGGGTATTTACCAGGTTCAATATTTTCTGTAAAAATTTTTACGTATGTATCACGATCAGGTCGTGTATGTTCATGATAAAAACCAATTGCATGACCCAATTCATGAACAACGATCCCAAATTCACTACATTCATCATTTATGCTAACGAATTGAGACCCTTTGCTTCGTTTACCAGTATGAGAGCAGCATCTACCATGGAGAAAAACTTTTTTTAATATTATTATTCATTAATTGTATGTATCGACTAAGTTATAATTGAATTAAATATCTGTATCTACCCGCAAGACTTTTCTGTGAACATAACATAGTTAAAGTCTTTTTCAATATCCCTTTTAACAAATTTAATACAAGTATAATTTTCCCAATGTCGCATTGCTTGTTTAAATATAGTTTTTTGTACTCCCGAGTATTTATCATCGATTTCATAAGGAATTATACCGTCTGGCCATATACGATTTTTAGTAACTGTAACAGTTCTTCGTTTCCTTGATAATATTTTGCTGAAAACATCAGCTATTTTATTGTCTAAAAAAAAAAAAAAATTTGTAAAATAAGAATTTGGTCCCGATTTGCAATATTGAATGATTCTTTATAATTGTATATTATACTTACCAGAAGAATAATCAGCAGATATTAATTCAGTGATCAAGTATTCTACTATTAAAAGGAAGAACCATAATCTAATATTTATTGAGCAAAACTTCATTGTAATTCAACAAAATTGAAATTCTAGAGCACAACTAGTAAAGTTAGATATTGTATTTAAACAAATACGGAATATAGTTATCTCTTTGCTAAAATTTATTTCGGACATGAGATATTGCTCAGTCGTGCAAAAACTATTAAAAATTAGATAACGATAGAAGTAGACCATCATCATCATCATCATCAAATTCTGACATGTGAAAAAATATTTTTCAAACATATAATTATTATTCAAATGGATTTAACTAGTGCAGATGTCTTTATTGACTATCAACTAAAAATAAATTTTATTACATCAATTATATTTTTGAATATTAATTTTTTAATGTTGCAATAATCATCGATATCAAAATACTGGTAGCTTTCGTTAAATTTTGCACATTCAGTAGGTCTGATATTGTAACAGGCTAACGATCTAGAATTCATAATCAAGAAATTATTTGGAAAATAATATACAGAGTTAATTAGAATTTTTTTATTTATTCTGTTTTTTGAAAACAATAGTTGGGTAAACGACAAGAACATGAATACATCAATTGTATTGATCGTATATGTATTATTTTTTATTCCCAGATAAAGATTCAAACATTTATGAACTCATCCACCCATAAAGATAAACACATACAATCCATATTTAATATAAAGGTATGTTTAAAATGATTCATTATTTTCTACTATATATCTACTTGAATTTTTTGATATATTTTAATACATTTATCCCTAAAGGTTGCTTATAAGTTCGTTGATTTTATTCTTATAGATATTATAATTAATAGTTATTTTTCTACTTGTTTTTTTTATTACATATATAGATCTTCATGAGTAATATTTACGTTTGACGTTGTCGACATGTAAATGACAGCAACGAACTACTCATTAATTTTCACTATCTATTTACAGAAAAATCTATGTCTATATTAAAAACAATTTATTATCATTAATTTTGATAATATTCTGAATTTATTACAACGAGAAATGAATACAAAGTTATGAAAAAAAATCCATTTCAAATTTCAGGCAGTGATTCATAATGTGATACACCGTGTTCAATATTCTTTCTAACAAATTAATTATCCACATTCAGTTAATTTAATATTAAGGAACATCGTCAATATTAATCTACTTTTAAATTACATGGCACGAATATTTGTTGATCGCATTGAGTTTATAATGTAATTGCAGGAAAACTTCCATCAATTTCAGTTCAAGTACATACGAGTTCTTTTTCGTTTGTAACGTGCTCGATAATTTTCTCGAGGTGAAGAAACGCCATTAAATTTTCCACGTCGAGACCTTCCTCTAGAATCGAATCGATGAGATTTTTTTTTGTTTGAAAAATTATGAAAAACATTTCGGTGGTACGATAATGACGGTGACAATTCAACTCGACGATGGTTTGCCGAACGATCGGTATCGCTATCGCGTTTTTGAGGCTCTAGGAAATTCCCGAGCCTGGTTAGGGATCAGAAATTGTCTTCTTCGTCGATTCCTCCAAGGTTCTCGTCGCTATCTTGACGGTCGATAGCAACGTATGCCGCAGAAAAGCCTTTATTTGACACTGTGTCATCAGTTCTGAATCTTATCAAAAGGGCTTCGTGCATTGAAACGATGTCAGTGATATTCTGCAAAAAGCATAAAATATCTTTAATTTCTTTATCAACCGAAAATTTCAATAGAAATTAAAAATAAATTAAAAAAGATTTTTTACAATAAATGAACTTATACTTACAGCATCACAGAATTTTCCATAACTTGGACCAGATGCATCTTGCCCTGAGTAAATTTCAACAAAATCATAAGAGCAGTCTTCTTCATATTCTAATTGGAAAGATATGAATGTCAGATGAACACTTTTTCCAATAGGCGCTTCGATAATCCAATCACAATCAGCATGATGATCATAGTTATGAGTTCCAAATCTAACGTGAGAGTAGATGTATTTCACTTCATTACTGGCCATTAAATGTCCACCACAAACTATAAAAAATAACAAATAATTATGTAATTATTGTTTTAATTTATAAGTAGTTAAAAGTTCGATAAAACAAAATTTTTAATTTAAAAGATAACGAAAATATTTTTTGAAGAATAAATCAATATATTTATTTAATGTAAATGAATCCTTTTTCAGTGCGAGTGAAAATATATTCTTTAGATAAAATAAACTTTTTTAAAATGAAAATATTCTTTTTCTCAGTTCAAATACCTTCAAAGAGTACCGGAAACGAATTGAAGATCGATCGAAAAAAAAAAAAAAAACACGAGAAGTAAAACAATTTTAAAGTAGGATAAATTTTTATATATATTTTATATATTATAATAGTAATTATTTATTGTGAAAAAAAAATATAGGTATAAATATAATTTTTTCATACATTCCAGAATCTTAAAAAATTTCAGTGATATATAAAAAATAAAACTCACCAGTAGAGTGAACAGCAGAGAATCCTTTTTTTTGAACTGACATATCACTCTTAAAAACCATAAACATGTGATTACTAGTTGCGTCAATAGAATGTGGCATTTTGGTTCCACAGAATTTACCAAGAGTATGACTGTCAGGAGAATCACCGTTGTAAATGGCTATGAAATCATAGGCACACTCTTGATGGGATTCCATCTCAAACACTTTGAAAGTCTATAAAATAACAAAAGTATAGTAATAAAAGTTAACATCTTGTTACAACTTAAATATTATTACATTTGTTAAAAAAAACTATCGCAAATCCTGTTTCATTTTCTCATAAAAACCTATCAAAGATATCAATATATTTTTTTACGGATATTCAATTCTGCTGTAAATATTCTTTAAAGTATTGAAAATGATGAAAGACGATAAAACGGAATGAATGTTAATAAAGTCTGATAACTTTTTTTACATTACAAATAAAGTATACTTAACATAAGCATTAAATTGAACGACTGTGATAAACGAAATTTTCACATAAAAAAATACTGATATCAAAATACAAACAGCTAATACATACTTTTTTATCATTGATTCTACTACTGTTTATTAACTTCATATAGGATTTCAAAATAAGTTAAAAAAACTTAATTAATCCTAGAACTTGGATGCTATTAAGAGCTTAATTAGGTTTGAAGAGTATTTACCAGTCTTATTCGATGGCCAGGAGTAGTAGTAAAGTGCCAGACGCAGTCTCTTTTTGAGGGATAGTAATCAGGATAATTGGGTGAGGTAATCGTTCCAGTGGGATTTGTTATTTCGTATTTACAACCTCCCTCTCTACAATCATGCCCGTTCTCTTGAAGTTTAAAACCATTATGACAGGAACACTCATAAGATCCGATTGTATTATGACACTCGTGTTGACAACCTCCATTATTATTTTCACACTCATCCATATCCGTGAAGAAGACTGCAGCAAATCCACTTTTTTGTATACTGAAATATGAGTATCGTTTTTAATCTAACGTAATAGCAATATTTTGTTTTTACTTTAATTAAAAAACTGGGGTAAAAATTTTTTGTAATAACAAAGCATTAATTAATCAAATATCACGCGTGCATCATAATATTTTATACTGTGTACTTACTTTTGATCGGAAGTAAAAATAATTCTCATAGTATTTTTTTCTGAAATGATCGGTGAAGGCATTTTAGAACCACAAAAGACACCATGTTTTTTAAAAGCATCATCGCCAAGTTTACTATAAACTTCAAGAAAATCGTATTCACATTCTTGGTGGTACATTTTATTTCCTTCCAAATCAAAATGAGTAAAGTTTAGAGTAATCCGGTAATGTGGAGGCGCTACAATCTCCCAAATACAGTTCTTGTTACCAGGATAAATTTCGGGAAATGAGGGACTTGTAATAGTACCGTTGCTTACATTAAATTCTCCTCCACATGCATCTGCAAATAATATACTTAATTAACTGTATTCGACTTTAGAAGATTAGTTAATCAAACAATCAAATAATCGTAGATAATATGTTTTTACCTTCGCAATGCTTCCCATCGGAATGAAGTTCGTATCCTATTCTACACGAGCATTCGTAACCACCTAAGGTATTTGTACAATCGTGCTCACACCCGTGATCATTCATTGTACACTCGTCGAATTCTGCAACAATTAATTATGTTCACAATTAGATCATTAAAATTATTGATTATTTTACTTAAAATAGATTAAAAGTAAAATTTTATTATCGGATTGAATTTATGATAAAATTTGATAAAGATTTCACTTCATAATCACTTTTATAAAGATGATGGTAACTTGAGAATACTAATTTTCATATCAGTAATCTTGAACGTATACTCTAATTTTAATTATCATTTTTTTAAAATCTGTACATGAATATTGAAATTTTAATATGAAAATTTCAATAGCATTAAAATAGGTATTTTTCGAAAGATTTAGTATTTTAGATTAAAATTTTCATTATTTGCTGTTATTTTGAAATCTTTTATAAATAAGGAAAATATTAATAAAAATATATAAAGTAAGTTTTTACTATGGTTGAATATTAAAGAATAAAATCCTAGAAATTGAAAAAAGAAAATAAAAAAATTTTGTTGATTTTTGCTTATTTTCGAATAAAGTTATTAAAATTTATTTATATTCAATAATAAAGAAAAAAGCTGAAAGATTATAAGGAATTATGAATTATAAAATATTTCATTTAAATTTAATATTGATTAAACTTATTTTTCAAAATATTGTCAATTATCTGGAAATTAAAATTTTAATAGCAATAATAAATTTATAAATGAGTATTTTCTAAGTATTTGGTAATTAATAGTCCTTTTACCATAATCAAATAATATTCAAAAATTCTTTTTTACCTTTCATTACAGTAGCTGAGAATCCAGCCTTTTGAACGGAGCCATCGCTAACAAACTTAACGAAAAGTTTGTTTCCAGTGGAACGAAGATCCGGGGGAGCTTTGTAACCGCAGTAGAGTCCAATAAGGGGTGAGTCTGAACTGTGTCCATCTCGAACTTCAACGTAGTCATATACACAATTATCATGATTCTCAATTTCAAATGATTGAAATTTTAAAGCAACTTGATAGTCTTGTGGAACAGTCAATCGCCAAATACATTCTTTACTTGACTGATATTCTTCAGGATAGTTGGGTGATTCAAGGTGACCAACGCTATCAAGATTTATGTCGCCACCACAAACTGCTTCATAATTCGCCGTGAATCCACGGTATCCACTCTCCTGGCTTGTTCTTATATACGTCACTAACATACGACTACCAGTTGAAATTATGGGCTCATGAATCTTTCCGCTTCCACAAAAACGTCCTAAAGAAATTAATTTTAAATCAATGTGCTGTAGAATTATTATTATCATTTCATTGAAATTTAATAGTTGTAGGGAGATTTTTATTTCTAATTTTTGTACCTAAGACTGGACTTTTGTGCCAATATCCGTCTCTAATTTCCAAATAGTCTGCTTTACAATAATCGCTTTTGTATATATCCAACGATGTAATGTTCAGGACAATTTTTTCCCCATGTGTTGCAGTAATTCTCCACTCACATCGTTCACCCTCGACGGATGGCGAGCTGTTGGGGTGAGTAGGAGATCCAAAACTTCCACTATTCTCTTGAAAGGTTCTACCACATTCTAGAAATCAATCATTGCTAAACTATTCACGCAAATGTGTTAATTAACATAATAATTAAATTAATTAAAACTAATACTAACTGCTACATTTATAGAGAAGATTAGTTTGTGCTATATCCCCTTCACTAAGCCGAATTCTTTGACCAATTTCAGGGCGTTTCTTTCCAGTATTTTCTATTGGTAAAATTGTATCAAGATACGTTCCTTTAGAGAATGTATTCTTAGCGTAGTGCATGATAGAATCATAATCATAAGGTAACCCAAGAGAGTCAACTTCTTCATTGGTCAATTTGTTAAAGTTGTATTCTTGGCCTGAAATAAAATAAAATAAACAAATCAGATAACAAAATAATATAAAAAAAAAAAGAATAATGATAAAGAATTTATAGTCTGAAGAAAAAGATTTAATAAAGACAATTGAAGAGGTTAATTTTAATTTAAAGTTATTAATATGTTCAAACAAAGAATTGAAGCAATAATGGCTTTTTAGACTTTCCCAATTGCTTTTGATCTTATTGACTTTAATTACAGTTGAAGTGAAGGGAATGAATATTTTATCGAATCTTCAATAATGAAAATGAATATGGATCATGATCAATAATCAATGGTTTATATCTGTCTAATGAGTTTGCAGTTTCTATAGAAGTCCAGCTTTGAGTAAATCATGAGTACTGCCTCTAGGGGTCGGATAGTCGATGCAAATATTAGACATCCTCTAGAGAAGACAAGGGGAATGGTAAAGGCTTCAACGATTCATTGTCGGTTTTCTACGGCCACAAATTACACCATTAATTCGTACAGAAACCCATTCGTCGTATTGTTCCTTTCGTGATATTGTGAGCAACATGGTCCATAGGATCCACTAGACCAGAGAATAGAGAGGAAACGAAGAAAGTTTTGGTGTTGTCAATGAAACAAACACACCCAGAAACTCTAACGACAGCAAGAAGGACATGTAATTAGGAGTAAATATTACTATAGCTCGAGATTTATGCTATGGTCATTAGAAATTTGAATAATGACTAGATATAATCATTTGTTGATGAAATAGGATTACTTACCGGCCATAATATTGTCTCTAATGATCTGAACGTGCCGATCACGATCTGGTCGAGTGTGCTCATGCCAGAAACCGACGACATGGCCTAACTCGTGTACTACAATTCCAAATTTATCGCAATTCTTCCCAATGCTGATAGCCTGTGGTCCATTGCCTCTTTTTCCCACAAATGAACAACATCTGGATCCATGAAAATCAATAAAGTGCTTTCATATTCAAGTATTAAAGGAAATTGTGCAATTGAAAGTCATGCAGAAATTTTGTTTGCAAGAAATAAAAGTCACCATGTGTTTCAATCTAAAATTAAGGCCAACAATATTTTAGAGAGTTTAAAAAATGCATTAGTTTGACGATTATTCTATAAGGGTGTTTAAAAGTGAATTAACCAGTTGGAATGCAATATTTAGAAGCTTTTACTCAAGTTTATAAATAATTAACAATTGTAATTAATACAACAAAGTTCTAAGCTTACCCGCAAGGTCTTTCTGTAAAGACGATGTAGTTAGGATGTTCTCTGTTGACCCTTTCAACGAATTTAACGCACGTAAAATTCTCCCAATGTCGCATCGCTTGTTTAAAAAGTGCTTTATGTGCTCCTGAGAAATTACCGTCAATCTCATAAGGGATAACCCCGTGATCCCAAACACGCTCCTTACGTGCTGTTGCCGCTCTTCGTTGTCTGTTCAATGAGTTTTTGACTTCTGATGCTCTTGTAGTTTCTCTTCTCTGGCGTGCTTGAAATTTCAACTTGTGCTCATTGTAGAATTCTATGTCCCGAAGACGACGATTGTGAAGTGATACGTCATCTAAACTATCTTCTGAGTCTCTTAGATATGATGTCTTTATACGCCGTTGATGGTGACGTCTTCTTGTTTGTCTGTTGAATAAAATTTCATATTTTTAATTCAATTTCACTGAAAATTGAAATAAAAATGTTATTGTGATCATTTTGATTCAAATTCGTTTTGTAAAAACTTTAAAACGATTTTATAAAAAATTTATTGAATTCCTTTTTTATGTCATTACACAAAGTTACACTAGTAACCTTTTCAAAAATCCATTTTTGAGAGAACTAAATGGCTTTTTAATTTCGTAAAGAATTTTTTTGTAAGAGTTATCTTATAAAAATAATGCCAAAAGATTGCTGGATAATTATTTAAAAGTAGAACTTTTTTTTTTATAAAAAACTATCCTTTGAAAATTTCTTTGTATCGCTTCTCATTATCCTTGGAATTACCAAAAATGTATTTACTGAAGATTGATCAGCGTCTAGAGTAGATAGCAGTATATCCGGTCGTAAAATGACTTGGAAAATTATATAAATTAATATCATAGAACAACTATGAATCGCAAATGATCATACGTGTAAATTTATGTAACACTGCAATTAATTAATGTTACTTTGAAGCTCTTCAACTGTTGTAAACTAATTTATGACAGTGTTTGTACTAAAGTTTCTATGTTGTATACCCCTGGAGTCTCGTTAACTTGAACAGCTCTAATAGACGTGAGCAGTGTTACAAAGCAGTAGAAAATTATCGTATTTTAATATAGTCTTAAAAATAAACTTGAACAATATAATGTCACTTCGACAACAATACATTGACAAAAAATTTTTTAATTATCTCAAATAATTATAATAATTATACACCACTTGTATTGATAGATTTCATTTCAATGATTATTAATTCATTACGTTTATTATAATGGGGATATAAATAAATTTGAAATAGTTGAATTTATCACATAAATTCAAGGCACGTAGTGAAGCGGGAAACTGTAGCACGTGACGACAGGTTTTGCGAGAGGGAAGAGATGAAAAAGAAAATAGATAACGCATAATTTGATATAGATCTCAATTCTTCATTTTTCATGATATTTTAAAAGCAAATAATAAAGAGGAAAAAATCACTTCATCAATATTTCTTTCTCTACTTAATAATTCTTCCTTAATATCACTTGATTACGACTTCAACTTGAATTCATTTTAAATCTCCTGCGGATGAAGTGAGTAAATGTTTAATTTCCGATTTTCTAGTCTTGGGATTAAAAAATGTGGTTACTTCCAATGAATAATAGAGAACAAAATGTCATTCCATTTGTTCCAACATTAGATATTTAAATTTTTACTTGAACCATTTTAATTAGATTTTTGTTTTAAAATACAGTTAAAATTGATAATTTCGAAAAATTTACAAATTTATGTGTAATGTTTAAATATCGGTTTATGCTTATGAACATAGAAATATATATGTATATTATATTATATGTAAAAGACGCTGAATATGCGATTTCACATTGAGGTTTATGATTGATCGTGATAAATCATGCAACCACCTGAATGTAGAGTTCCATATGGACTAGCATATTGAGATAGATCGACATATAGAAACCACACACCTCTACTCTCTTGTCAAAGCAAGTGCTTAGAGTGAATAACGTCTCTGGCACACTTCTATCCTCATGTGTGTATAGAAAAGCTGCGAATATATTTTCTATTAAACTATTGAATTTCCCTTTAAACCATGTGGAATTGTAAATTATTCGCAGAAAATGTAATCCATTAGTCCATTAAAGTTTACATTAATTTTATCTAAATACTCTATTATTCAGAATCTTGCTTGGTCATCATCAAGTTAAATGTTATTACATCAATAATAGTATTATCTTCTCAGATGTGGTAAATGATTCTTTGATAGACAGTTTTCTATTATTTTACCAAATAAAAATGTGAAATTGTAATCAATTAATTTTTAATTTAACTTTATTTCTTAATAAAAAAAAAAAAAAAGAGATAATAAAAAATTTTTAATTCTACTTCTGCTGATAAAAAACTTGAAAGATGATTTTTTTTCATCTTAACTTTTGTCTTTTGTGGATGATAACATTTATCTACTCCTAAAAATTATAATTGCTTTTATTGTAATATAAAAGAAAACTAAGAAGTGTGAGTTTAAAATTTTTTCTTAATTCTCTATAAGGTTATTTTCAGACAAAAAACAGGTATATTCAAATTAAATAAATAGCTCAATGATGTTTTTAAATTATTTTAGAATTAGCACGAAAAAAATTAAAAAAAAAAAAAAAACAAAACTATAACAACAAATATTGCTTATTGATGAAAAATATCTTAAAATTCCTTGCCAGCAGACTACAGTATTTGGTTTAAATCAAAATTGGAATTTAATTTAATGATGAATGAAAAATTGAAAATTAATTGGATAGTAATTTCTAACAAAAACTATCGCTAATTTATCATTAATTAAATTCAAAATAAATGTAGAGTAACGATTTATGTAAAACCAATAATATTTTATTGTTTTTACTAGTAAATTTATCATGGAAATAGTGTCAAAGTTATATATCACTTTCACATGTTCGGGACCTATCTAGCGTACGTTTTGTGACAGGTTATTGGCAGTTCTGTAGTAGGGTGAACTGAAAATGTCCCGACCGGCAGTATTGAAGCCCATTTTCTTTGCTTTACGATGACGGGCATTGTTATTGGCACTGGTTGTACATGGTCTCGCCTATTCGCCTCATGCTATTCTCATAGATGTTGGACAGGGGCGGTTGTTCGTCCGTATGATGACGCTCAAGTTACGCGCTGAATTTAATCATCCTTTAGGAACTGGGTTATCCGCTCAAATTCACCGAAAAAATCTCGAGCAATTGAATTCAATTGAAAATCTGCTGTTAACGTGCTACCATTCGATTCTCTTTGACTATATCACAGTTTGTGTCTTTGATAGCACCTATTATTCTTTGATTCGATCAAGCCATCTAAAAGCAAGCTATTTACCTTCGACGATGATGACGACGTTGACGTTTTCTTGATCCTGTGTCTGTTGTTTCTTCTAGTGTTATAACTGAAAAAGGATCTTTAGTCGTTAACTCTCGTGAACTGTGATGAGCATGTCTAACTCTAGCAGTCTTCGAAGATCCTTCGATGACAGTTTTAGGTCTTCTTGTTGACAACTCTTCCTGGTAATTTAATTTCTTAAAATGTTTCGTTGATTCTTCCGATCTGAAAAAATGTTTAGAAATTTCATTAAATGGAATTGATATTGTGAAGGTAAATTTTTTAATAAAAGTTGGAAAATATTTATCTTATTTTGAAGAATTCACCTGAATTCGTAACCAGTGTCTGTGACACTTGGATTTTTGTCATTATTTTTTATTTCATAGTCCACAGCTTCTGAACCCATGCTGTACTGGTTACGATTTGTAATTATTGGTTCTGATTTTTCCAACGATAAAATTGATGCTGGTTCATCTTTGGTTTGGTCATTTTTAAATTGTAAAATTTCTGAAATATATAAATAAAAATACATTTATTATTATTCGTCAATAAATACTTTAGTTTTTGTTTTTTTTTTTTTTTGAAAAAATAATTGGATATTATTTAAAAATTGTATGATTCGTACCTGTAAGTCCCTCTTCTTCAACTTGGAGTCCTTCCTTAAGTACTTCATCATGATACTTCTCCAACTCCTCAAGGTAGCTTTTGTTTAATTTTTGTTGTCGGTACTCAGTCTCGTATTCAACATTTGGCAGTGCAATATCTCGAAAAAAACCACCTAAAAATAAATAAATTTCTGATGAAAATCATCCGTAGTAAAGGTACTTGAGCACGAGAGAAAAAAAAGGATGAAGTGATTGATTGAAATCATTTTTAATTCGGATAAAAGTGGAATTGCAAAGAAATTTCATTCTCCAATCGTTCAGTTTTTCTCCTTTGTTCTATCTTACCAGGGCATAACCCACAAGTGTTAGAAGCAACGTGAAAAAAAGGAGGGCAGATTGCCGCAGAACGAATTCTATGTCGATTTATCGGTTTCCATAAATCACATGTCGTTTATCGAACGAAAGAGTTTATTCGAGAGACTGTTACAAAGGAAGTAAACAGCTCGAAGCTGACTCTTTATTTGCTATCTTAGTCTCACGACATAGTAAAAGGGGAAAAAATAAAAAAATATGCCGTTGGAAGTTTCCTTGAAAAGTGTAATTGCCTCGCGGTGGTTTCGCGAAAGTAAAAAGGAAAAAAGTCACTAGATAGGAAAAGGACACTGACATTTGTCGTATTTTCTTTTTATTTCTTAATGGTATAAGTTTGTTCTTGAAGGACGAAACTTGCCAGAATTTCACCTTTTACACTTCAATGTTGATCGACTAACTCCCCCGAGATGTAACCGGATTACAGTAAGTTTTATTTTAGAAGATTCAATGGTATCCTGACACTTTTTTTTGCGTCAATTCTAACTTTACTAACACAGGAATATATTCCATTGTTTTTTCTCGTACATCACAAACGTCCACAGAAGTTGGACAGCTTTTATTATTCGGTTGCTAAATCCACTTTTAAATCAACACTTTTAAATTTTGATTATTCGATTTTCATCACAATAAAATCAGTACGAATAAAATTTCTATCAAAAATAATTTTCATTTTTAAAACCAATTTCACTTGTATTAATTTTCATAATTTGTATAATATAATTTAAATTTAATATTGTATTGATTCAAATCAATGAATATTGATAGCTTTCCAATTACAAAAATGGAAATTGTTTATATTTTTTTTAAAATAATAAATATGGATAAAAATGTACTCTATGTGAATTTGATTCATGATAAACATTTTTCGAATTGTAAACAAATCAAATTCTCTACAATTTAACATTATCTTTTATTATTAATAGTATTGTAAATCCAATTATTTGGTTTTCAAACACTTTGAATGTTCACCATGTTATAGCATATTATGAACAAACTATATCATTTTTAGAGACAGCTTTCAAGTCTTTCTCAGTTTTTCCTAAAATGCTATAGTTTGTTTCGAGATTTGCCATAAGTGTCAAATGTTTAACAATACAAACACTTTAAGTATTAAACACTTGGATTTTCTTTTATTTATTGCACATTTTAGATAGATAATATAATTATTTAAATAATCTTATTTCTTGCAAAAGTAAATGAACATTAAATCCTCAATTAATTCGATCAGTAACTAAATATTGCCAGTGATATTCTACCAAGCATTCATCTGATATTAACCGAGATCAATTAATGAAAAGGTCAGTGAGTGTGATTGTGCTGATTGAATGATAAAAATTTATTATTCAAAATACTACACAATTCAGAGTAATTAGTTAGACAGGATAAAAATGAAAATGTTGATGAATTCAAATAACATCTACCAATCTATTTATAAAATACACTCCGATCCGATTACAATAATCAGTTTAATTTAATTAAACTATTATTAACTTCAGCATGAAGCTTTGAATTGGTAAGTTTTATTCAGAATTTAAATATTCCATAAAAGCAGAGAATTATTTTAAATCTGATAATTTATTTGTAAATCAATTAAAAAGTTTTTAAATTCATTACAAACATCGACATTGCATTTAAACAAAAAAAAAAGTCAACGGAATTAACGCAAAGTTATTCAATCAACGTAATCCATAATACCATAACAAACGCTATAAGGGTTTTACCACCCTTCATAGCTACTACTAGTTTTCACCCTCAGTAAAGTTTCTCGTCAACGCGATTAATGATGGGTCGAGCGTGTCGGACATTACAAAGTCGTGAATTCGATGCTACAGATCGTAAATACCCATTTATCGGGAACAACTGACTGCAAATCTATACACCTCGAGGTTAAAATACCCTCGTGAATCCAAGCTTCACCCTAGGAAAATCGGTGTTATATATTCCACAGGGACAATGAAATACCGTAAGTAGGGTGGTTAATTCATGGAAAGAGTGAACTGCAGTTGGAGATGCGTTACGTCTAGTTGCATTGTACAAATGTGCATACAGTATAACTATGTACAACAGTCGTGCAGAATAACCATCCCTTCGTAACAACCCCATGGTATTACAATCTTCGGTTAATTAATGACACCTGACCACCGTTGTAGTGTTGCACCACAGATGCAGCTTACACCATAAACCACCAACAATTCAAACCCTTCATAACGCATCCAACTCTTCTTCGCATATTTCTACAGTTGAATCAGCACCTGATGCACCCACTATATCTTCTGGCTTAATAAAAGGTATCGTTATGTTTATTATGGCTATTTTTATTTTAATGAAACACAAGAATTTTTTTCAGATTAATTTTGAATTAATTCAATTTTTTTTTTACAGATGTTTTTAATTCGTTTCTACTCCATTGGTGTTCTTTTTCTAATTCTAATAGTTTTTGTAATTATTTGTTAAATAATTATATTTTAATGTGGCTTAAGAAAGGATTTAAATTGTTTTTGTATTGGAAATTTTGGTAGTATAAAGAGGATATAATGTATATGATAAAGACACGACTATTTTTTGGGATCATTTATTTTCTTTCTGAAAGCTCATTAATGAGTGCACGTTTTTTTTGGCATATCGTATTTCGTAGATACAAATGATACCTTTGTGTTTTATATTTGTTTGTATTTCGGGTAATTTATGAAAATATCCGATTGGTATTGTGTTTTATCATTTTAATAATAACAATGGTTATTGAACAAATTGTGCTCATATTTTTTTGAAATATTAACAAAATTGGGGTTTCATTGAAATAATTCAATTAACATGAATGTAAGTTGAGAAATGATTTATCACATTTATTCACAAAAGTTTGAATCATTTTATTCCGTTCTTATTGAGATATAATTTTAAAAAAATATTGCCTAAATAATATTTTTTTATTATTTAATTCTAAAATAATATCAAGTCAATTAGATACTTCAATCATTAAAAAAATTTATTTAGCTATTGAATATTGTATTTAGTATCTCTTAATACAACTATAATCCAATACTATTATCTACTTGAACACAAACGTGTTGATTGCAAAAAGTATCGATCAATTGATTTGGAGTATACCCGATTACTGTGTTAACATCTCGACGATGATAATTATTTATTATATATCTGATTAAGCACTTGCAATGCAAATGCGATTTTTTTTTATAAAATGAATATGAATTTCTTCATCAGTTTAGACATTTTGCAAATTATAAAATAAATTGCCTACTATCAAAAATTGGAAACACAATTATCAGCATTTAAAATTATTTATATATTTAATTTGTGTATTTAAAGTATTTCTACAACACAAAAAATTTTTTTTTATTTTTAATATTTTATTTTGTGTTATATATTTTCTATTAATACAATTTAATTTTAATTCTGTGTCTTATTTATTTGTGCAAATAATCGAATAATTATTCATGTTAAAATATTTTTAAATACTTTTGTATATACAGCAGGATTTAATATTACATTATTTGTGAATGTATTTTTAATTGTCTTTAATTATTAGCACATTTTTCGAGCCAGTAAATCTTCGTGGCTGATAAAGAAATTTGCTTTAAACGTAACAAAAAAATCCATCTATTCAATTCCGAAAGTTTATCAATAAACAGTGGAATTTTTCAATTAACAATTAATATACACTTTTAATAATAAATTTTGATTATACTAACAGATTTATTTTTTTTTTTACTTTACACTGAAATGCTCCGAAATCAATCTTAGCAACTTCGGGAAAACAAAATGGAATTGTTTACGAAACATAAACTTGAAAGTAGGTGGAAGAAAGAGTTATACAATTTGTTATCGGAGGTGCACAGTAAATTGTAGGTGAGGTAGCTAGTCGGCAATTTAAAATTTTAATAGATCGTACAATATATATATATATATATATATACAGATATATGTAGACGAACCACACGATTGTGGCCAGTGGCCAATCAGGAAAATACCCTGAACCAAACACCAATCTCTGAATTGATCTCCCCATACCTGAATTGCTCTTTTATTTCCGCAATCTAATTCCCTTAGAGGAAGAATCTGATAAGAAAAAATTTCTTTTTCAATAAAACTTCAATTAAAAAAATATTATTCTATGAAAACAAATTTTTTTACCACAATTATTTTCTACGTTCTTGAGATTGAATATTATTGAAAAAAACTTAAATATGATTAACTTTTATTTGATATTACATATTGAATTGAGAAGCAAGTTAAAGAAGCACTTGAGATCTTTCATACTCGATTAACGATTTTTCAAAAGCATTACAAGCTTTTCACTGTCTTCTATTCATTTTTCCCTATTTTTCAAATGGAGCAGACTAGCTCTTTTATATAGCATTCTCGTTTAATGTGAGACTCTGCGTGCATGTTGTATTGATTCGAATATAGTAGTAGCAAGAGAAGAGATTAAAAGAGAGGAAACCTCTCATATAAAAGCGTTACCTGGACACATTTACACATGTCGTTGAGTTAAATGTCATGTACGTACATGATGATTTCCACTAGTGTAAACTTTATCTCATTTTCTGTCTTTAATACCAACATTTAATTTTTATCTCTCAGAAATAATTTATCCACGTAACCATTGTCTTATTATGGTCAATTAAAAAAAATTTTACCCAAGATAATTTTAATTTTTTCATTCATCTTTTATATTTTATTTCTCGATAAAATCTCGTGGGAGGCAATGGTTACGAGGTTATCAATAAAATGATAAAACGAAAATCACATTGGATAGGAAAATTTTATTTTATTTGTGATACGT